CACTGTATGTATCCTGAAATTAAAACATTTCGGTATACGTACGCTATTGGCAGCTCATATTTTTAATTAATTGGTTTGACATTAATAACATTGATTTGATTCTACTATGACCCATCTCCTTAGCTTGCAGTGCACTATCTTTCACTTTAAACTCTATTATTTTTATGTTGTCTTTCTTTACTATGAAATATTTTTGGAAGTAAAATATCAGTCGATAAACAACAAAGTGAAGTATATTGTGCAATTATATCAATATGATATCAGTTGGTTTGCAAAAATTTACTCTTTATAATTAGTTTCCGATTTCGAAGAATAAGTTCTGATTTTTGAGTTTTTCATGTAGCAATTCTAGTTAAAATACTAGAAGTAATTCTTTCCTTCTTCTTTTCTTAATTGTTTACAGAAAGAATAAGAAAAAAGTATGTGCGTGATCCAGACAGAAGAAAAAAATAGAAACACTATCGGTTCCAAAAATAAATAAATAATTCTAAAAAAAGTAAAATTTCAATCGGCAAAAACTTACTAATAAAAATTATAATGGGCAAGTCTTTAAATGAAATGGGCAATAGCCTATTTGCTCCTCCATTCGCTACGCCACTGAAAGCAATGAAATATTAGAGGACATGATCATCCTTTTAGCATCTTCTGCTTCTGACCAGATCTTTTTTTATTTCGCGTTATAACTAAATGTTGCATCTTTAATTATTTGCGTTCTCATGAACTCTAAGCACAATTTTGAGCTTATAGCCTAATGATATCTGTTGGGCTTGATATAATCTTCAAAAGTCAAGAACTTGCATAGCCAAAATGAAGTTAAAACTATAGTAAAAGTTCAATGGAGTCTTCACTCGATTGGTTAGAAAAACATAGCATTCGACTGGGAGGAACAAGCTGGATGTTCGACCTCCACTGATTTTCAAAAGCTTCCGAAATACCTAAAACTTTTAGGAATCTCAAAAGCAAAAAGACAGCTTTTCTTGTCTTAACTTTGAATAATTCTTTCGTCATAAATGAAATGAGCGACACTAAGCCATCTGTTTCTATGAATTTCTTCATGAATACTTTAGCCAAGAGCTAAAATACTGCTAGAAAAGTTTCAAAATATATCCGACTTTTTTTGTCGATAGTTGAAGTGATATTTGCTGACATATGGTGTCATGCCAATCTGTAAAATGGTAAAGATTGTTGCTCTTCATATTCGAATTGAGGCATTTTAGTTTGGGAAATAAGTAAGATAACAAATATGTGAGCTGGCTTTTCTTCGATCATCAACATTCAAATTTTAAAAGAAAAGCATCTTTCTGATGGCATTAGAGAGCATCTTTGAAATTATGAAAACATACTAACCAGGCTAGAATTTTGGTAGTATGTGATAGGCTACAAAAAAAAAGCGAAAAACAATCCTCGTTTGAAGCATAGTTCGGCATTAAAGCGTTCAGATAATGCTCCAAATGTGATAGTACTGCGTGAGCTGATTTGTTTCCATAACGCACATTCCGATTTGGACCTGCAACTTATAGAAAACTATTCGAGAGCGAGCTACAACTCATTCTCATCAGAAATACTTTTTTTTCTTCTGCCGAGTAAACATGACATGCTTGTGAAATTCAGCCTGTACTACTGACTGCGCTTCTCAAACAATTCACAAGAAAAACATGTACACAATCAAGTAAAAAAATGAATATAAAATAATGCTTACCGTTCTGTCGGAATGAAGAACAAAACAAATTTTCAGCCTCTCTATATATACAACCAATGTGTACTGCTCCCACAAAAACTGCGTCAAGCTTATAAAGCGCACACAAACCTTCTTAGTGAAGAAAAAAATCTGGTTATTGCACGGAAATAAAAGAAAGTAAATTTCGAATTACTCACGCTCTACGATGCGTTGAAGGTGACGTAGCAAGAGACGAGTGTATTCTCTCGACTGAAGAAAGAATCATACGCAATCAAATCAAATTGTTTGTTTATATGTATGCTTGCATATATACAACCACGTGTTTACATGTGAAGCTTATTTTATAACGTTTGACAGAAGATAGTCAAGGTCGAGAAGAACAAATCTGTAAGCGATGTTTCGAACTTTTGAGTTGACTTTTTTTTCAACAGAGAAAAGGCTTTTACGATAATTAATGATTCTCCCTCGGGTGAAAGAAGAGTTTACATGGAAAAAATAAAATAAGTTTGAATCTATGTAGTTCTATTATAAATCAAAGAATTTATTCCAATAATCAAAATCTGAATCAGATAGATTGTAGAAAAAAAACAATGATCTTTTCAGAAAGTAAACTTAAGCAGGTGAGTGACTGATCACGATTAACGCTCTGAAGCGGCATCGAAGAACGAATAACCACTAATTTGAAAGGCCCAAAGAAGATACGTTTCATACGATTCTAACCCATAGAAGAATTCTCTAATGACTGAGCCAAATTGGCTGCAACATTTTTCAAAAATTGTGCAAAGGTGAAAGAATAATTTTTCAAATCAAGTCTGTGAAAACGGCTTTGTTTTGTAGAGTTAAAACATCTAGCATGTTCAGGTGACATAAAACATCTCTTACCGAATTTGTAACAAAATAACGTTCGTGTAGATAAAAAAAACAATATTGTTCATGACTAAAACTGAATAGATGAGTATTTAGAAAACCAGATTGAATACAAACTATATGTACAAATAATATGAACTAACTTGTACGCTTTGTATGAAAGCAAACGTTTGACAGAAGGAAGAGCTAACAACGCTTTGAAGTTTCTTTTCTTTCTCAAAATATAAATATTGCATTTCTTCGTTGTAGTTGAGTCTGTGTCAAAACTACAATAGTATAAAAGCACAATTTCTTTAACTCAAATGAAAATCGTAAAGTATACAAAAGTACGACACTGCTATCAAGAACTTGAGCACTTACCTTCCATCGAGTAAGCGGCAGCTCGAATAGTGCACTAGTATCCAAAAATGCGCCTACCAATGTACCAACCTAATCTCGATTGGTTGATGTTTGTTGACGTCATTAGTTCAATAGTATCATCATCTCGTAAAGATTGTATTTTATCATGATTTCAATGCTCAATTTCATGCAACTTCTCATTCAAATCCTAACATCGAAGCAATCTGCGACGAAAATTTTGTCAAAAATTACTTAAAATTAATCGAATTGTGATCTTTCTGATGAAAATGTTTAGCAAGCAGTTAGTCCTAGTCTTAAGTCTTGTGTTAATAACTTGGGTGCACTATGTCAATTCACTTGAAAGTTTCAATTATGACTAATCATGAGCATAAGGATTCCCAATCAATGAGATCTCGACATTATGAGATGAATTTTTGATTCATTCAATTATACATAGGAATCTGTCTTTAGAGTTTGAGAAAACGTAAATGCATTGTAACATCATAAAACGACAAGTGAAAATTTTCTGACATCGAATTTTCGCGTTAAAGTGTTCGCCACATGAATACTACGGCTCAACTGTTCGAACCTTAAAAAGATATTTCCTAAATACCAAAGCTCAGAAGACTCGTATACGATAGCTTAAACTCACAAATAGTGCTGACAGCTGCTAGAATAAATCTAACGCGATTAAGCAAAAATTTTATGTCAAGAAATTTTCACTTGTCCTTTCACGATATAACAATTTATTTTCGTTTTCTCAAATGCTAAATATAGTTCCCTATGCCTGATTTACTAAATGAAAAGTACACCCCACAATATCGAGATCTCATTCACTGACAATCCCTAGACTCATCAGAAATCATAATGGAAAGTTTCAAGTGACTCGACATAGGTTAAGTCGAGTTATTAACACAAGATTTAAAACCAGGACTAACTGCTTGCTAGACATTTAAGTAATTTTTTTACAAAATTTTCGTCGCAGATTGCTTCGATGTTAGAATTTTGAATGAGGGATCGCGCGAAATTGAATATCAAAACCATGTTGAGATACAGTCTTTATGAAGTGATGATACTGTTGAGCTAATAACTCCAGCAAACATCAACCAATCGAGATCAAGTTGGTGCCTGCGATCAGGATTCATTTCATCTGGTAGCCATATTTTCAACCACTAGTATAACAAGTTCGAGAACACCGTATCCATTACTCAAATTGAATCTATTTCGTCTGACAGTGACATACCATTTACCTTATTCATAAAAAGTCACTTTGCGTCATATAAAGTGAATAAAAATCATGAATTCTCAGTTGCAAAAGTATTTTGACGGGAAAATCCTAAGATTTAGATAAAATCAAAAATTTAACGAAATTACAAATGTCTGTTTTCTTTTTTGGAGGTCATCAGCCTCCAATCACAGGCTTTCAATAGAATCAAATGAAATGATTTTGTTACATACTACTGTTAGTGAATCATGTATTGTTTTTTCTCTGTTTTCCTTTCGTCGCATTATGTTACATATTTCACCATCGTCATTTCAGATGACGTGACTGAAATTTAAATAAAACTCAACTCTTTTCATCAGTGATTCTTGATGCAATCATGACTGATGCACTAGTTTTGTACTTTACTCTACGAGTATGATTGTTTTTCGTGACATACAACATAGACTTTTCTTTTAATTTATCAATTGTAACTGCTGTCGAACTTAATACTTGATGGAAGTAAACTTGAATACAGACGAACTTACATAATCAATACTTTCAATTCTTTACTCGCAATATTTCATATATCTACGTGTGAATAAAGTGAAAAAAACTTCATTCTTCTGATTGATTTCTTTTTTCCTGCGAGAAAACTGAAGATAATCTAAAAGTTAATTATTTATTTTAATCAAGTAAGTGCCGACCTCTATCAATTGACATTTGAAAATCGGTACTCTAATATCATTTCTGATATTTTCACTTGGTAATCAGAGTCTTATTGAACGAAAGCTTTTTTTGTGCATCGTCTTTTAATTTGCGTACTATAAATTATTAATCATTTAACTTTGTGTCATAGCAAGAAAAATTAGATGATTATATTCTAGATCTATATTTACTGTGAATAAGAATTCGATGGCGACTGGTGATTTATCGATAAATAATTTGAATTCATTCGAAAAATTTTCATGATCATCTTCTAGAACCGAAGACAGTCGAACAAGATGAACCAACTACGACGTCAGCAGACGATAATGAGGTGGCTGCTCAACTAGAAAAAGTTCGACAAAGTTTGTCAGATAAATTGAACTATGACACGTATTTAATCGTCATGCTTTTCTAGTATTGGAACATTTACCGGGCTTATTTGAAGATCTATCATCAACAGAGCAGCAAGAAGAGCCACCTATATTTAAATCATTTGATTTGAATAGTGCTGCTGAACACATGGCTAAGTGTTCGAATATTATTGTCATGTCTGGTGCCGGTATATCAACAAGCGCTGGGATACCTGATTTTCGGTCACCCGACACTGGACTGTATTCACAATTAGAAAAATACAATTTACCATTTCCGCAAGCAATCTTCGAATTGGGTTATTTCCGCGTATGTAGATTTGAATGAAATTTTCTCGGTTTTCTATTGTTGCAATCATGATTTTTTTTCTTTCTGGTAGGAGAATCCAAAACCTTTTTTCTTGTTGGCTAAAGAGCTCTATCCGCAAAAGTTTATCGTAAGTCGAAAAAGCAAAGAAAACTTCTCATTGACTCTATCATTTAGCCGACACCGACTCATTACTTCATTCGACTATTGAACGAGAAAGGCAAATTACTACGCACATTTACACAGGTTTGTCTAGAATTAGCTTCTTTTCTTTTCAAAAAAAAAACTGAATGACTAATCAGAAACTTGATTGATTTTCTAGAATATTGATTCTTTGGAACGAATTGCTGGTATACCAGCGGAGAAGATTGTCGAAGCTCATGGGACATTTTTTACTGCGCACTGCTTGGATTGTCAGGCGGAATACTCATTGGAACATGTTAAAGGTCTGTTGATAATCTCTGGAGATCATATGTCGAGAATTCTTTGAAAATAGCTGAAATTCTTAATCGAAGAAGAAGTTTTTGGAGAGATCAATTATCGAAACAGTGATGAATTTCGACAGAGAACTTTTTTCTCAATTATCTTCGAGTATTTCGACAAAACCATCGTCTATTTTTTGTTTAGAGATTATTTTCAAAGATGAAATTCCATATTGCAATGCGTGTAAGGGAATTATTAAACCTGGTAATTTTTCTTAACAAGAATATTTGTTCTCTCGCAAATAATCGATTCAACTTAGATATTGTTTTTTTCGGTGAAAGTCTACCTGAACGATTTGCTGAATGTGTTAAAAGTGTAAATGAAAATTTGAAATTAATTTTCTTGATTTAAACGACTCGTTTAATAAACAGGACTTTTCCAAATGTGATTTTCTCATTATTATTGGTACATCACTAGCAGTAGCACCATTCAATAATCTTATTTCATAGTATGATGTTCAAATCTTTTGCTATTGTTGAATATTAACCAATAATATTGTTCGTTCCTAGTGTGGATAAAAATTGTCCTCGATTATTGATTAATATGGAGCCAGTTGGTAATACGGTTTCATTTTGGAATCCGGTGAGTGATGAATTCCTGTTATCGCTGAAAGCTAAAACTAAAAATATAATATATAATTCTTCTTATTGATTTATTTAGTTTGGAAGTACATTGATGTTTGATTCACCAAAAAACCATCGCGATGTCTTTCATAAAAGTACTTGCGATGAAGGTGTGATTGAACTGGCGAAGTTACTTGGTTGGGAAGTAAGATATGTTTTCTTTTTAAATAATATATCCTATGATCATATCATTTAAATTTTCTAGCGTGATTTCACAACATTACTCCAAAAAGAGAGAAAATTGAATCTAACAAAAACTGCATCTTCTACGAAGACTGTTGCTAGTTCAACAGCAAGTTCAACACAATTAAACACGACTGCTACTTCGACTAAAGCAACTTCTTCATCTTTGAAGCCGTCTAATGAGACTACGAGAAGAAGTATTTCATCAACAAAGCCAGCTAACATCACTACAAGAAACACTTCATCCACGAAGGCAGCAGCTGCTGCATCTTCAAAGAAGTTTCCGACTTCGACGAAAACAACTACTGTGGCTTCAACAAAAAAGAAATAGCTGAGACTTCGTCAAAAACCGAAACGAAGAAAAATACTGAGAATCAAGCCGAACCAATGGTTAAAACAACTTTGAAAAGTTGTCCAAGAGATTCATAAAAAGTTACTTTGTCTTTTCTTTTAAATACAAATCATGAATTGATTGAAATTAATGAATTATATTTACCATATATAACATCACCTTCATAGTTAATTGACATTTCAGTATTGAAAGTAATAGAATATTCTTGCCATATCGATAGATTGATCCATGTTTCTAATTTCTTCGTTAAAGACATAATCATTAGGAAAAACACAAAAACGGGCTATACATTCAAAATTTTCTGACTCTTTTCTGTATTTCAAAGCACAAAAAAGAGACACTTTTATTTCCAATAGTTCTATACTTTTTTTTTCTTTTGAAGAAATCTCTATTCTTTCCTATCATTTGATACTCCATAGATATTAACATATCTCGAGACTCAACAAGCTATTAATGAAAATATGTTGGACAAAGATGAGACAATACTTTCATCCAGTAATTTTTTAACTCAAGGGAAAATTAGAAGAAATATATGCAGACGCTAGCTGACAACCGAATTCTTTATCTTTATTTAAATATTTTTCTTCGAATAATTCTTATACAGACCTATCAGCACTGCAAGTACTCATTTATCGAACGCTTCGTCTCTAATCCTTAAAGATTCAATGACTGACTAGCATTATCTGCTCAAGAGTTACCTTTACATGTCATAGATAATGCCATTCATTAACTCAACTCGTCGTTAACAATCAAATTAACATGATTGACATTGTCTATCCAATGGCCAATATTAGAGCGTTGAAAGTATGGTACCTAAATAACGAGTTCGTAAAATATAGACAATTGAGAAAATTCGCTTAGAGTTCATCATTTCGAAGAATAAAATCAAAGCTATGCATCGAAATTGATCATGAAGAAATTCGAAGAACAAAGATCTGGACATACATAATTCTTATTCAGGATTTCCTTTTGTATTTTCTGTAATGATCAAGCGACTGTACAGCTATCAAGTATGCATTGCCGAAGCAATTGAATTAAAAGTCTTCATTGTGAGCAGGAATAAGAGCGAAAACAATCACATGTTAATATATGAAAGACTTGCTTGCTTGCAATGAGAAAGTATATACTATAGATCTTCTAATAATTAATCTTGGATTCAAAATATCATGCTCTGCCTTTTTTCTTGTACAAATCAAGTTCTACATAGTATGATGTTTATTTTCGTCTCAATTCAAACACACTTCTTAACATGTAACTGAAAAACAATAAGAGTATGATCAAGTGAAGAAACGATATCATTTATGAAACAAAACCAGATGTGGTCAATATTACTATTCAACATGAATCATGTGTCTTATCAAGAACAAGGACTAATTTTTTTTCTTTGCTTCCTTTTTAATACACCATAAATAAATTGTTAAGAGATTAATTTCGTGCAGGCTTAAGGTAAAATTAATCCTCTGCCACAAAATGCTGAGAATAATATTTTTTTTCTCGAAAAAACTTGGTCTAAATAGTAGAACAGTGAAACCAGAGTACGTAGAAAATTTTAAAAAAATTCGTTTTAGATGATGACGATCGACACGTGACTAGTTTAATAGGCAACCAAGTAGAAATATAATTCTGCAAAAGTTGTTTTCTGATAGAAATAACTATGATTTTTTTTTTATTTGAGTCCATTCTGAATGTAGAACTTGATTAAAATAAATATGATCATTTCTATCGGATCATTTTCATGATATAGGTTTCGGTTTTTATTGCTTGCATTGCTTACATGAAGGTCTTCTAGCCGTTTTGCTATCACTTGTCGACAATAAGTTTTGTTGGTAATTCTATCGATATTCATAAGTTCCAGTGACCGTCAGGGTCTCAACATGGGGATGTAGCTCAGATGGTAGAGCGCTCGCTTAGCATGCGAGAGGTATTGGGATCGATACCCAACTTCTCCAGTTGTCGACTTTTTTAACTGAGAATGAGTCATGGAAATTACATCAAACTCTACTTGTATTTTCTTCTTTTCTTTTTGACAATGCTGTTACACTTTTTGAATATGTACATCACTTGTATTCAATGCATACCATGTGTACAAGGAATGAACACCAATACTCGAAATACACGACCCTATTCGACTGATTACATATAAGGTATTATTATTCAAATATACAGAATACATCTTATGAGAAAGAACATAGAAAATCGATTCAGTTCATTACTATTTATCTGTCCTCTTGGTTTTCTTGTTTATGTTCTTTCATGCACACCGTGTAACCAGTTCAATCAAAGACCATTCAGTTTTATCCGCAAGTTGAGCAGGCAACATCTTTTCTATAGGTCTAAGTAAGTCGACTGGAAAGATTGTGCATTCTCATCACGATATTGACTTTTTTCCAGAGAGTTCTAGAAACCGAATCAGGAATTGAGAAATTTCGAAGTGAAAGTCGACATTGCCTCTCCTGAAATATTCCAAGAGCAATACTGTCAAAAAAAAAATGTTTGGTAATTCTACAGGACAGTAGCATTCGTTTGGAATGAAAACATCATGACTATTCTTTAAAAAAAAAGAGAAAATGTGAATAAAAGTAGTAGAGAGCATATCGAAAACTATAAATATGAAGTTTTGCGTTCAGTTTGTTTTGAAAATATAAATTTTAAGCTGAACTTCAACTCGAATCGAGCTCAAACTGCTCATAGTCTTAATCTGTAGTTTCTCTGAAAAGATTGATCCTCACATATTCCATGAGAATACTTCGGTATTTCGACATATTATGTAAAAGGATTCTTATCATAATTTTTTCATTCTTTTTGACATTCAAGCGAAAAACCATCTTTGCAATTTCTGTGACTTCGTGAAGAAAATTGATCATTCTTATTTAAAGGAATTTTCTGCTTATTTCCAATTATTATTTATCTTGTTGTCAGAGCTCTTTTTGTTCTCAGACTATAGAGAAATAAACATTATTCATAACCGACAAGGACTGTTGAGAAACCGAGCAGTTAGCGAACTGATGGAAGAATACAGAATATGTTTTTTATTTCCTACCTGATAGGGCTAATGCGAAAGTCCTTAGATATCCAAATCACCTGTTTGAGAAAATCGTACAACGAACAGTTTATTACATCCCACATAGACTTCTGGTCGACTATTTTCACAAAACCCTATATTGAAAAAAGGAGAAAGACAATAGCTGTCTCTCTCACTATCTAATCAATTATTACTTAAATGCTGAAAAAGATATTATAGTCATATCAAATTTTATAAAGCTTAAAATATCATTATCCACAGTAAAATAGCGAGTTTGTTGCTGGTTTTTTTTTCTTCACTACCATGATAAGAACTAAAATTAGTTTTTTTTTCTTCTGCATATAAAAATAATAACTTTTCAAGTATTAATAAAGCTTAGTTACGATTGGTAGCGATGGAATGTTTCTCATCACGTAGCACAAAACTGCAAAAGATTACTGACAAAATCAATATTAGAAATCAAAAAAAGGCAAAACAAAAACGCTTCTATTGACAGCTTTCATTGATTACGAATGGTAACCATGTTAGCAGCAATTTATGTCACGTATTTTGCGTTTGCTTCTTTATCTTTCAATGTCGCTCAACAACAACAATCTTTACAATATGTGGATGGTTATAGGTCATCTTGCAAGTTTCATCAAGGAGGTAACTTCAATCTCATTCTTTCGGCACCTCATGGTGGTAGTTTAATGCCGACCGACGTTCCCGATCGAACACAAGGAGGTTGTCGTCGTTCAGGGTCATCATGCACATGGATATACAATGATGCATGTCTCGATGGTCGACGTTGTGCAACAACGACAGTTCAAGATACTCTTAGTGGAGAATTTGCGGAGAACGTCGCTGAAGAATTGAACAGCAAGTATGGTCTAAAACCATTCGTTGTCATTGGAAAATGGCATCGAAAAAAGATTGACTTCAATCGAGAAATCAATGAGGCGACACTTAACCATCCTGAGGCTATTAGTGCTCATCAAAGTTATCACATGAGTCTTGAGCATGCCATCAATCAAATACAGCAACAATATGGTAAAGGTCTTCTTATTGATGTTCATGGACAAGGAGTGGGCAAGTGAGTTGTATAAGGAGTTCTTAAATGAGAAACCATCAATGTGTTCATTTCTTTAGCTTTACAATGGTTGGTTATCTCTTAGATAGCGATTTACTCAACAGAGATGACCTCCAAACCACTCTCGGTACGACTACGTCAATCGAACAAATCTGTTCTTTATCCAATCGAACTGAATGCATTCGAGGACAAACATCATTCGGTACAATCATGAAAAAAAATGAACTTGGCATTGCTTATCCATCGATGGCACATCCAAAACCAGGAAATGGCACTTTCTTTCAAGGTGGTTATATAACACGTAATTATATTTCGAAAATAAATGCTATTCAAACTGAACTACCATATGATATGCGTGCTGGATCTTATAAACTGTTGAACTCTAAAAGATATGTACGCGCTCTAATTGATTATATGACAGTAAACAATCTTTTGAAAACATAATAAAATCGAAAATGCATGAAGCAATTTTCTTTGCTCATATATGCAATTTTGAATTGAATTAAATAAATGTTCGACAAAAGCTTAAACTTTGAGCGTGAATGAGAAAATGAATAGAAAAGGCAACAACGGATGAAGTATAGGAATGGAAAGTGATCACTCTACTATTGATACTTAGTGGAAGATTTGAAATCATTTGAAGAACTCTTTATATTAAAAATATGTGTAGCATCACATAATCAAGTCAAATGTTAGTTTAATATTTTCTTCTTGTAAGGTCATACATTGGAAGAATCAAGAATTAATCATTCAATATAAAACCGATCTAGACTAAACGATATCGTTCACATCAATAATCAAGCGAAGAAGGTTTCAGTCACTCCAACAACACTTTATATCTTCTCTCGTTCTTTGTTTTTCTTAATCATCATAACATAGATAATATTTTCATTAGAACGAAATTGTTTCAGCTAAAACACTGGACTCTAACAGCTGTACATCTAAACAGAGCACTCTTGAAAGCATAATAATACGTATGTTTTGTTTTCTTTGTAGACTTTTTCAATTTTTTTCATCTTCTCAAAAATATTTAAAGAAAATGACTGATTTGATATTTAAGTTTCTTTCAGTTGCAAACTCTTATCTTATTCTTAGATAAAATAAATGTTTCAGTACAATATGCATGTTTTGTAGGATCATATTTACTATTTTTCAAATTTTCATATTTCACACAACTTTGAATGGTAATCGGAATTTCGTTTTCTTCATTGTCCTTTCATACTGCATACTAGAAGGCACAATGGAATTATATATATTTGAGAATAATTTTAATTCTCTGTTTTTTTTTCAGTCAGAAAAATAAATAGCAGAAAAATGATTAGATATTCTAATTATCCGTTAAACAAATTATCATATTCTGTAGATAAGTATAAAGCATTTGTGTAAAACAAGAACGTATCCAATGAATGGATGATATCATTGCAAAAGAAAAGGATGAGGAGCTGGTCCATTTTGGTAATGTGAAATATCTATATATTTGTGTTAGAATTATGTCTTAGTCTATATGAGAGGGAAACAGCTGAGGCTTTGTTTGTGAAGTTCCATGAAGTCTTAAAATCCGCTGTGTCCCACTCGAGTAATATATTTTTCTCATAGTATAAGCATAAGTTGATAAAGTTTTGTGTTATTTTCGACTTTATCCTATCTATTTCTTGAAGCTATCGATTTTATTTTTATTGTAAGTTAATCCACAGAAAATTCAAAAAACAATGACGATTTGAACTCAACTGGGTGAGTACTATTGGATACCTGGCCAAGTATACGCACCGGGTTAGAATTCGCACCGTGATACACGATGAAAATTGGTACCGAGATGAAGTCTGAATACGAGACTGTGACAGCCAATACGTTTGGCATCTTGATTGAAATTAAAAAGTGAGACGCTACTTGACATGAGAACTGAAAATGCTTCTGAAGCCAAGGAGGATCTCGCAACCGTTACCCACATCTGAAGACGTACTGACTGCGTAGGTAAAACCTGCATGGTACCTAAGTCTAGCTAGAGTAATCGTTCTGAAACACGCCCACGGTGAGCTCTGTGTTTGAGTTCAGGCTGAAACCGACGCACAAGCTAAAGTCGATAAATTAACCAGTGTTGAAATGAGGACAAGCATCAGTACGTGAAAAAATCCAGGACGGATGCAGGATCGAAATCGACATTTGGATAGATCATGAAATCGAATTTGAAACCCAGACGGGAAGCGAGATCCGATACCATCCATATTGTTCACCGCTAGTACCATAAACTCTAGCATCAAATTCAAATCCGATGATGTAATCAACGATGGAACGGGATCCTTAGTCGCCTCTGAACTCAACGACCGACTGTGATTGATAGTAGGACGACAAATTTAACCATAATGTAGATAAAAGCCATGACGAGAACATGAATTGGAATTAGACTAAAAAGAGACACGACGATAAAAATGCGAATGAAGACGGTACCTGAGACAGATGCTGGAACTTTAACTCGAGTTGCTGTTGGGACCCTAAATGCATCTAGACGCGAAATGATATTAGCACTGAGATCGAGATTGGATTCTGGGCTCGATACTTGATGAGAATCGTTGCCTTGCGTACGAACTGTTATTGAGACTGAAGTTCAATACAAGTGTTTTCTCGCACACGTATAAAACATAATGGAGGTCTGATTCAGCCAGCACCATCATATTGAGCAGTAAAGTATGGCTCGTGAAACATTAATGTTTTGTTGATGCGGTGTGTCGAGGAGAAAAAAAAGCCAAATGAAATCGTAATAAAATGTATATTTTTTCTGTTCTTTGAGAAGCCATAAACTATCACTTGTAATAATCTAAATGCTTTGTTGATCGTGAGCGACGATGCGCAAAAAACAAACGAAGCCGTGGTAATGCGAATATTTTTTCCATTCTTCGATAAGTAATCAACTGTCACTTGTTATACTTGAATATTTGGTTGATGATTTGCGATGATTCGAAAAATACGAAAGAAATCATGATATAATGTACATTTTTCAAACCATTGATTCACTCTGTTTTGCTGTACTTAAATCTATTTGATCGATAAGTGATAGGACAAACAAAACAAAGATCATAACCTATATGAAAAGAAAACTAGGTACTTCAATAATATTATGATCATGTGTTATTTTATGAATATGGATGAATGCATGCAAGTCAAACTTATGTTTTTCGATCTGTATATATGTGATGTAATGCTTTTATTTCTTACACAGAAAAAACATCGATATATTACAGAATTTTTTCGATTGTAGACACAACATTTCGTACGTGTACAGCGAGTAAACGTAAGTATTTTGAAATTGCATTCTCTTCGGAAGGTTTTTTTGATTATCAGTGGCCAGTAGATTTTCGTATTCTTAGATGAAGTCGTCGCTCACTTTCGATAATTATTTATGTTGTTGTCAGAGCTAGTTCTGTCCTTATACTGTAGATAAATGAACATTGTTCTTAGCTGACAAGGACTGTTGAGAAATTGACTGCCTAGAGGAGTGATCAAAGAGAACAGAATATATTTGTTGTCCAATTCTATCTGACAAGACTAACTCGACAGTTCAAAGAAATCTACAGCACTTTTTTGAGAAACTCGTATGAGTAAAAATTTATCGGATGTCACACAGAAGTTTGATCGGTTATTTTCAAAAAATATAGTCATAGAAAAAGGACAGATGATAAACTGTTTTCTCAGCATGCAATCAATTCTTACTTCAATCCTCAAAAAGTAACTACTATCGTTCGAGCAAAGTTAATCAACTTTAAAATATCATTACCCACAGCAAGATAGAAGCTTCGTTGCTCGTTTTTGTTTTCTTCGCTACCATGATAAGAACAATAATTAGTTTTTTTACTTCATATGCGAATAATAATTTCTCAAGTATTGGTAAAACTTAGTTATGCTGAATAGTGATTGAGTATTTCTCGCCATGTAGCACAAAACTACAAAAGATTACTGACCAAATCAAAATGAGAAATCTGAACAATAAAACAATAATGCTTCTATTAACAGACTTTATTGATACCAAGTGGTTACCATGTTGACAGCACTTTATGTCACTTGCTTGGTGATTACTTCTTTTTTCTTCGATGTGGCTCAACAAGAACCGTTGCAATATGTCGATGGTTATAGGTCATCTTGCAAGTTTCATCAAGGAGGTAACTTCAATCTCATTCTTTCGGCACCTCATGGTGGTAGCCTTATGCCGACCGACGTGCCCGATCGAACACAAGGAGGTTGTCGTCGTCCAGGATCATATTGCACATATATGTACAATGATACATGTCTTGATGGTGTACCTTGTGTAGCAACAACAGTTCAAGATTCTCTCGTCGATGAACTCACGGAGAATATCGCCGCAGAGTTGAACAACACGTATGGTCTAAAGCCATTCGTTGTCATTGCAAAATGGCATCGAAAAAAGGTTGACTATAATAGAGAAATCAACGAAGCAACATTCAATCATCCTGAGTCTATTAGTGCTTATCAAAATTATCATACAAATCTTCAATATGCCATCGATCAAGTAAACCAACAATATGGCACAGGTCTTCTTGTTGATGTTCACGGTCACGGTGAAGGAAAGTGAGTTGTATAAGAAGTCCTTAAAAAACCAATATATGAGTTTACTTCTTTAGCTTTACAATGGTTGGATGCCTTTTATATAGCTCTCTACTCAACAGAGATGATCTTGAATCAACACTTGCTACGATTACATCAATCGAACAAATTTGTTCTTTGTCCAATCGAACAGAATGCATTCGAGGGCAAACCTCATTTGGTACAATTATGGAAAAAAACGAACTTGGCATTGCCTATCCATCATTGGCACATCCAAAGCCAGGAAATGGTACTTTCTATGAAGGTGGTTTCATAACAGGCAATTATATTTGGAAGATAAATGCTATTCAAACTGAACTACCATGGAGTATTCGTGGTGGAAAATATAAACTCTTGAACGCTAAAAGATATGCACGTACTCTAATTGATTATATGACAGCAAACAATCTTTTTATGAAAAAATAAAATCAAACATGTGTGAAGCAATGTTCTTTGCTCATATAAGCGAAAACTGACCACCATTCTATTGATAAATCGTGGAAGATGTGAACTCATTTCACAAAGTCTTTATTTCGAAAATATGTATAGCATCATACGATCAAATGAGATTGTTAGTTTAATATTCTTCTCCTTTAAAATCATGACTACTCAAGATGTTTAAAACATATTTGATGAAAATCTATGCTTTTTAGTCGTTGGTCTCACGTAAATCTATTTAAATTGATATTTAAAAAAGTATGCTCAAATTGAAGTATTTTGTTACTGCTCAGGAATTGTTTTCTTCTCTGTATGTATTACAAGAGATCAGCTTGCTTGATAATTACTGAAGTAGATCCAATTCAATCTCAGAAATAAATATCAATAAAAAACAAGATTCGATATATTCACGAACTAAATGATTCAATAGTAATTTTGATGTGCCTATATCATCGAAGTGAGAGGAATATGACCGCAGACTACGTGTATCATAGTTTTTCTCAAAAATGGGTTTGTCAAGCAAAACATAAGAATCATTTATAAGATGAACGAATCCATGTTGAACTTATCGATCATGATAAGGTTTTTTTGTCAATCTTCTAACTCAGTAATGCTTTTTTAAATTAGAGTTAATGCTTAATAATCTTCATCACTGAGAATAGATATTTCACAAGATTCTGATTAATTTCTTATGAATGTAGTTGTTAATAAGGTGTTCAGAAAATTCTTTAACAAGGATGACACTTTAACTTTAAAAAATAATCAATCTTAAAAGGAGAGTTCTTTTCCAATACATAAGAACTTTTTTAAGAAAAAAAATAATCTCCCATAAAATTTGATCAAATGTTTTCGAGTTAGAAGAATCCAAAGTTGAAATCGATTTTATGAAATTTTGACTTTAATTCTTTTATAAGATAATCTTTTTTCTTCTGAAAACAGTTTTAGACTCGAATTTTTCAACCCGAAAAAACTGCGATCAACTTCATGAAAAAATCCCTATTTGCATAAAAAGAAAAGTTCTTCATTAGTGAAAAAAAACCTGCTTTAGCTTTCAATGCAGTAAAACATATATGAATTTTATTTATTATCGAGAATAAATGAAAAACATCAACGATCTTTTTGTAGAACGTAAATTTTCAATGCTAGTAAGAATCATCTTCAGACATCTTGCACTATAATAAATTATAATTTTAAAAGCCATATTAACATAACTAATTTTACTAGTCATAAATTAAAAGACAATGCCTACAATAATTGCTGATATAAATATAATAAATAACTAAGACGGGTAAATGTTTTTCATTTATTCTCTGTAATATTAAATAGAATACGTATATACTTTGCTACATTAACATTTGCTCCTCTTAATTATTTATTACTTCAACTTTGATTTTTTAAAATTAAAGTGCCATCCCTATTCACAAACAAGTATGTATCTGTATAAGTACTTAATTAGTGTTAAATAACTTATAGGTAATACACTAAGTACGACATTACTTCCGAAAAGAACCAAGTACTTGGAATATTACTTGTGACATTGTATTGTATATTACTCACACAATAAGAATCTTGCAAATTTTCCAATATGTTGTCAGCAACGCTGAAAATCCCTCTCGTTTTTTCCATATATTATCTGTTTGATTTGGTACTTGAAAAATTCATACGTTATCGTCCCAATTTCTATGACGATCATAACATTTTTACCATTGTTGTGCTGTTAAGGTTGATAAAATATTGTGATAATATTTTCGTTGGCTGCTCATGTAATGAATGACACAAACATTCTGCATGAGTTTTATTTCTGTTATAACAATGCTATGCAGTATCAAAGAAATTTTATCCTCCTCTTGTTCGCAATTGGATGGATGCGGATGTCGAGATGATTCATATTTGCAGCCAAAGAATACTTTCTTTCTTCTAAAACCTTAGATCCATCATTGTTTAAAGTACATCAAAATTTGAACAATCGAAAAGATAAGTATTTTGCCATGCATGTCTTCTTTTCATTTTATGTGAAAAACATATGATCAATGGAAAATATTTTGTATTTTTTTTTTGTTGATCAAGGTATAAGTTGAGTCATTTATTCTTTCTATTTGTACTGATGATGAAAAAAGCATCGTATTGATTCATAGGAATGATTTATTTTACATATTTTTGAATAATCTCGTCAAATAAGCACAAGCTGAAGAACTTGCCAAAATAAAATCAAATTTGTCGGAGAATAGAAAAGAAATGAATTTAATGGCCATTTGATTTGATTATATTGATTATGTTTTCATTCATTTCTTTGTTTTTTATTCGTTTATAGATCTTCAACATCAAAATATTTTTAATCAAAACAAAACAAAAAAAAACTATTTTCATCGAATATTCCTATTATGTTCAATAGAAATACATTAGCAATAAAGCTAATTTTTTTGTAAGTAGAAAACAAAACTATCAATGAATATTTGGTACAACATTAAATCAAAGAATTGAATTTAAAGAAAAAAAAGGATTACTGTATTCTTAAGATAAAAATAGTATTTGTTACTATCGATAATACTGTAGATTGCTAAGTATCATTTTAATTCATGAAGATTAAGGAATTAGAATAATAGTTGGTATCTATTGATGTTCAACAAAATATTTTCAATAGGTATGTCACAATCGCAAGAAAATATCAACGATATGGACGATGCACATGCAGTTTTTTGGTTGTAGGCAATACATTTTGTCGCTCTTCCATATTTTCAACATTCTCACATTGTTGACAGCTTGATCGTTAATATTGTTTTCGCTTGAATAAAAATATTCTAAAAAGTATGAGATTTGGGAAGTTTAAGTTTTTACATAACTGATGGAACACTAGGCGCGCAGCTCAAATTGTTATATACGTTTTCTATTGAAAAAAGAAATTTTTTTCAAAGCAATGGATCAAAGAATCAATTTTGTTTTTGTAATCAACTTTCTCTTATCTATTAATATGTTCACTTTTTTTATATTTATGCACAAAACAATGTCCTGATTATTCACTTTCATCCTCATAATATTGTATATATGTGAATTCAGTGAACTACGTAGTTTTAATTTAGTATACACATAACATGTAGAAATTTTGCGGAAGTAATAAGTTCCTATTACTTCACTAAATTCGTTTTTAATGGGAAGTAATTGGTGCACATTATTTGGTTGGTGTGCCACCTATGAACAACAATAACATGAATGCAACGATGTCTATCATGTGATCAAAATAATCATGAGGTCTATTGGTATTTTTTTTTCCTCACAACAGAATCAGATGAATCATTCACGATGAATAATCGTTTTGAAGGCAAGTCACTTACACGTCATGTGCTTTTTCTCGGAAAATGATGGAGTAATTTCGTAATATTTTACTTTTCCTTTCCGACAATCTGATGACTCAACGATATTCTTTTGCGTTCGTAAGTTAATATTAACAAATTACTAAGAGTTTCATGTAAAACTCACGAAAAAAACAAAGATAAAGACATATCACTACTGTCTTAGGAAATATTTGAAAAAGTGATATACACTCAATTAACACATTAATTTAATATTGAAATCAAATCTCATTAAAATATGAATTCAGGGCAACAACAATTCTATAATTATGAATTGAATAATACAGAAAACAATTTAGTACAACGTACGTAAAATTAATTCGAATATTTAATAAGTTTTTTTTTTTTTTATTTTTCTTCATTTTATAGTAAACACTAATCCGAACAAGTAAGCAAGACAAAAAAGACAATTATATTGTTTCTTGATATTTTTTTTTTCGATTTGATTTAGTAAAGTAATCAGTTGTATCGAAGATTTATCTAATGAAATTTTTTATCATATTTTTGATTATCTTGATGGATGTCAATTGTATGATTCATTTGTAAATCTTAATACACGTTTTCAAAATCTTCTCATATATTCATCTATACCTCTTAAAATTAATATTGATTCAAAACATGAAATAATCATTGAACATTATTGCAAGAATATAATTAATCGAAATAAATCTCGTATTATATCAATTCATTTATTAACTACTATAGCTGTTAAACAATTTTTTAAATTAATTACTATCAATTCATTATTCAATCGTTTACAATCACTTGTTATCAATGGTATTGTTGAATATAAACTTCAATTACTTCTTAAACAATTAAGTTTTTTACCTCAGTTTTATTCATTGAATATTTTTCTTATTGGTCAATTAGAATCATTCGATAATATCTATCAATTAATTTTTCATTTACCTTTTTTAAAATATAATAGTCTATCCTATGGACCATGGAAAATACCAATTACATTGCCATTTGCTAGAAATCAACAATTTAATTCTATTGAATATTTAAATATTAATATTGTTATAACTCTCAATAAACTCATTGCTATACTTTCATATACACCGAAATTATGTCGTTTAACTTGTCAACAATTGTATGGTTCGAGTCAACATACTCAAATAAATGAGATCATTGTATTACCTTATCTAACATATATCAATTTCAATCGATGTCGTTTACAATTTTCTGAATTAGAATTATTTATTAAAAAACTTAACTCTCAATTAAAAGTATTACATTTCAATACATTTGATAATATAATGTATCTTGATGCTAATCGTTGGCAAAGATTAATTTTACAATATCTACCATATTTACAAAAATTTGAATTTGAATATGATGAAAATATTTCTCATATTTTTCAACTTGGACAATACCATCAACAAATCAATCGATTTACATCATCTTTTTGGCTCAAACAACAGTGGTATTTACAGCTTCAAATTTATGCATTACCTTTTTCTAATAATCGAATAACATATTCGATTCATTCATACAGGTATAAACGATAAAACAAAAAAGAGATTGTTTTTCTTTTTTTTTTCTAAATTTTTCTTTGATATTTAGAAAAAAATGGTATCATGTATATGAACATATAAAAAATGATATACAACAAGATAAGTCTATTGATATCACTTCACAGAATATTCGAAATAGTTTAATTTCATATAATCGAGGTGTTGAACTTATTGTAATTAATCATTGTGATTTCGAACAATATCAATCTTTTATTGAGAATATTAAATCTTTATTTCAATTAGTACAAATTACTTGTTTAAATATTGATTTATCTTATTTATCCATTGATTTATTTATTAATTTCATATGTAATTTACCTAATCTTGATTCGTTAAGTATGTCTTGTTTGCCTTTACTAGAATTAAATATTTCATCGGAAACGCAATCTAAACTTCAGTTAATATGTAATCAGAACAAAATTACGAAAGTGAATCTTGAAAAGTTGATAGATATCAAAGAAGTTCAATTTATCATTAATCTTTGTCCACGTTTGGAATTTTTACAAGTTGGATATACAAATAATATGAATTTTGAATTGTCCATACATTTTATTTTAATGAATTATAAAGTTAAATCTCTTCTTAATTTTCGTCTATTATGTCTTCATTCTCCAGTAGCAGACCAGAAGACAATTAAAAAAATACAAAACATGATCGATTCGGCAAAATTGCTTAAACATTATTCAATTAATCGTATACTTGATAAAATTTATTTACAATGGAAATAAAAAGAAAGTATTCATTCACGAAATAGTAATACTTAGGGATCTGCAAAATCGCTTTTTTCGTCCCGGTCTCGGTCTTTGACAATAGCTTCATTTCTAAAATCGAGCAACTTTTTTTACAATCTGTGTACTGATCAAATTCTGATAAGACTAAAATAAAAGAATGATCAAAGAATGAACGAATTAAATTTACGTATATAGTGTTGTGTTGGTAGTTTTATATGTATTCAAAAACCTGTACAATTAGAAAATTCGGATTCTTGCAAACAGACTCGTAATCAGTAAAGACTTATAGAAATAGCAAATAAAAATATCTAATTTACAGATCTTTAATCATGTCAAAATAACAAACGTGAAAATATATTGCATAAAAAACTGACCGGAACCAGTATGAAAAATTTTTAGTCCCCGTTCCGCCGGGACAGGGATCACTTTGCAGTTCCCTAGTGATACTTCCGATTATACTTAATAATTAGATAAATCTTGAGTGTAATCATTTTGAAATTTTATGAAAACAGATATGGTTGAAAGAGAAGTGTTGAATTTAATAAGATAGAACTCGTTACAATGTAAACAATCTCTCTATGATTAGCACCAACAGTTGCATTGTGTTTCACATTATAATTCTACAAGGACTGTTTTGTATATGTACATATCATGAAATGCAATCTATTAGACTTCAGCATTTAGTTTATAATCATTCATAGAGAATATGAGAATAATAATCTATTTTTTTGTCTTTTTCTTTTCTCTAGTGTTCATAATGGAACATTCTTTAAGAAAATACATATTTATCTAACTATATTGTTAATTTTTATGTTAGTGGTAAATGCGCTCACTGATAATCGAAATTCTATTGCTGTTGTCACCATTCAAAATTATGTAAATCGTTTTAATGAATATACGTTGTTTCACAGTATTTGCAATTCAGTAATAAGAAAATTGTCGGGCGATTGCCAAAGATTTTATTGGATTCAAGTAGCTTGTTGAATAGAATTCGACAAGATTCGAGTGTTAGATCATTCGTTCTAATTATTTATCAAAAAAGAAAAAAAAATCAAAACAAATCTTTTAGATGCATAAGACTCTGAAGAACAAAATTGAAAGAAAAAAGATTGAATATTCAATGTTAATGACAGTTAGATAAATATCAAAGTTACTATTTTCATTAGCAATTTTGAAAAGTATTAGAGACTTATTTGCAATATAGCCAAATCAAAAGACAATTGATTTTCTTCATAAAACTATCGCCTTATTGCTAGTTTAACTCTTGATATGAGTATCATTTTACAAAGTTTTTTACTTAAATGCCAGATAATCGATTTCTGATATGGCAATATTTTGAAATTGCTTTGAAAAGCAATGTCATAACCAACCATCAGTCACGTATATGTGGAAAGGTTTGAACTCAATAGTAAAGAAAGCTAAGTGTACAACTGAACATAAAAATGCATATAATTTGGAGTTACTATCGAGTTTTATATCATAAATGAATATTTAAAATATCGACTTTTATTTTTGCTTGAATCAAAAGTTACTAAGTCCAAGTCTGTTTTTGATCACAAATCAAGCCAAGTCATGGGTCTTTTCAATTCATGTTATGCCATGTCAAGTCAAGCAAGTGCAGTCAAAAACTTAATTTCTGATAATCTTTTTCAGATATTGTTTTCTTTGTACATATGTCAAAATACTAAAGCTTTCACTCTTCATTAAAGAAAAATGAGTTTGTAACAATTTCAAAATAACAAAAAAAGCAAATTTGTTCACAAATATCTTGAGAGTAGTTCATAAGAAACAAAGAAAAAGCATAGATCATTGAGAAATGAATTTGGTAATGCAAGATGAAAAAGATCATTTACTTATTAAAAATTCTTTTAGCTTGAATTCAGTTTATAGAAATATTTACTATCTTTTTCTTTTACGTTTCAAATTAGTGATAATCAGTAAAGTGCATAAACATCCTCTCTCTATATATATATGCTTTTTGAGTTAACTTATTCATCTCTATCTTGGATTGAAAAAGTTAAAGAAAATTTTTTCTTGAATTTTAGTGAAAAACGCTCGAATATCTTTTATGTAGAACATTTTCTGTATCTCGCTAAGTTTCATAGTAAAATATAAAATTCTGAACTACTCTTTAAAAAAAACCGCATTTTTTGAAATTTCCTAACGCTTAATCACGCCCAGCAAACACTGGGACATCAAAGTATGTTTAATATTGCCTCTCCTTTATGTCAATCTAACTTGAGGAATACTTCTTTTGCATTGAAGATCTAATGTATGATGTAGATCAGCGGTAATAAGTAACAAAGATCTATTTGATCATGTCTTATATGTCTTTCTAAATGAACGTCTTTAGGGTTAGTATATCAAAAGAACATTGCTTAAATATATGAAGATACGCTTGTCAAGAGTCATAGTCAGAAGATTAAAAGCATGAAATTATTTCATCTAAATTATTTCTGTTTCTGTCATCTACAAAAAAAATTCTAAGCTTATAATCATTTCAACAGGAAGATACATTAATTCTCATTTATATATATATATGAAATATAGCATGAATCCAATGCTTAATTTTTTATTCCAATTAAATTTTAATGATATTTTTAATAGGAAAATCGATAATTGATAGATTTCTGCTTTTAACGAATTCTTTTCACAAGTAATCTGTTGTTTATTAATTATAATTTCCACTTTTCGTTACACAAACACTTATTTTGTGATAATATTAACTCAAAGAAAAAACTATAATATCACAAGAATTGAAAAATAAATTATTTTCTATTAGAATTTTACAGAAATGAATTGACTTAATTCAAAAATATTGATAAAAAATATATTAAATAAAATTCAATACATCGAAAATGATGAGAAAAAACTTTAGAAAACAAATGAAAAAGCAATACTTTAAAAAATATCATATTCGAATCAAACAACAAAAATAACCTAATTTCATCTTCTCACAACTGATGTATCTCTTTTTAAAATTGTGTAGGTGACAACATGTTGCTTGATCTATATTTATGATTAAAAAAAAAAAAAAGAAGCATATCTGTGGGTGTTCTTACCATCAGTTTTCATCGGCATCTTTTTTTTTCTCTTGTATAAAAGTTTCATCGACGATACATTGAACTAATCGATTATAAGAAAGGCATAGAAATGTCGACATCAATCTTACCAACTATTCAAAATCAACTTAACCTTTATGGATATCCAATTTGTTTAGTTTTGGGAAATATTGGTAATATATTTATTATTATTATATTTGGTCAACAACGTGTAAATGCATGTTCAACTTATTTAATAAGTTCAGCTATAGCAAATAGCTGTTATTTAACATTTAATAGTTTTGTACAAATATTTCCTTTTTATTATAATGATGAATCATTACGTGCATTTATTTTATGTAAAATACGTTTTTATATATCAAATGTTCTTGGACAAATTGCAAAAACAATGATTGTCTTAGCTTGTATTGATCGTTTTATGTGTACTAGTAGTCGTGTTAAATTTCGTGCATTTAGTCAACCTAAACGAGCTAAATGGCTTATATTTCTCAGTATTATATTTTGGCCTATATTTGCTAGTCATATTTCAATTATGACAACAATTATTAATAAACGATGTGGAACATTTGGTACATATTCAACAATTTATACAATTTATTCAATAATATTTGTTGGTTTAATTCCACCAATTATATTAAGTATATTTGGTTATTCAACTTATTGTCATATGAGACAAATTCATCGACGTATTCAACCAATTGATCCAAATAATCGTGAAGGAAATATTGCAATTCGACGACGAGATAGAGAATTATTAATTATTGTTATTGCTGAAGTATTTGTCTATGTTATTACAACAACACCATATCCATTCATTCTATTAGAAATGATGATTAGTTCATATATATTATCAAAAAAAAGTGTTGAATATTCACAAATTGAAAGTTTTATATTTACAATTACATTCTTATTATTATTTATTAATAATACTGCACCATTTTATACTTATTTAATTGCATCAAAATCATTTCGTCGAGATTTTCAACAATTAATAATAAATGGATATCGAAAAATACGAAAACAACCAATTGTTCCAACTCGTTCTGGAACACAACATCAAACATTTACAAAAAGAGATACTTATTATTAAAAATGAAATTACTTGAATATATTTTTTTTTAATGTTGTGTGTGTGTTGTTTTCATTGTTTACAAATACATTTATTCAATGATATAAAAATTCTTAATATCATAGTCAAATCTTTCTTTTCATGTAACATTTTAAACATAATTTGAAATTTTAATTATAAAATCTTCAATACTGATAGAAATACAGACGAATAAACTATTGAATAGAAATTGAAAACTTTATATGCATATAGTATAAAAATAGATTTTAGTACCTTGATTACTTTCAAATTTGATTTTATATATGCTAAAATCAAAATAATTCTTTAATATCTATGAGTATTTTCTATTTTTAAGCAAAAAAAAAAGAAAAATCAGATTATGTCTTTTTTCTTATCCTAGAGTAAATAACATTATATTTAATTAAATATTCATAAAAATTGTATATGAAATTCTATCAACACACGACATTAGAATATATTTTCTCTCTAGTCAAGAAAAATCTTCGCAATTTTAGTTGAGAATATGCCTGTAAAAGTACTTGTTCTTTTCATCTCGTATTCACATATTATAATTAAAAATACCTAATACATTGTTACATACTGAATGTTTTCTATCAATATTTCATGTTTTTAACAATACAAAATGTATTTGACTATTTTGTATGATGAAATTTCGTACAGTTAATAGAGATCTATCAAAATTACAAACCTAATTAGTGATATTCTCACATTGATCGGAGTAGTAATAAGAAATAATTGCCAAGTTTGAATTGTAAATCGTAAATGAAATAATTATTGGTGTTTCATGAAATTTAAATGACTTTTCTTAACTACAAAATTCTAATAGTATCTTAACATTAATAAAAATTTATCTCTTGAATAATTAATGTAATCGAAATAACAATAATTGCAACGGTTAAACACTATGTATTAATATTTAATTTGCGATTATATGTTCCTTTAGATTTAGTATAGAATATGTTGACATGTTCTCTAATATCTACACAAATCACACTGTTCATCCCGTGAAATTATAAATTAAATTTCTACTCGACTTAGAATGAACTTGTTAATTAATACCTATTCGATGAAATCATTAATCTGAAAATGAAAATTAATTTTGTTTTCTACAAGATTTGTATTTATTTAAGTAGTTACAATGACGAACAATCAATGAAACAAATATTAATATTTCTATAATGTATGATTGAGAGTTCAATTTCTATTGAATTTTATTTTTGCATATTTTAAAAGATACGAAAATGAGACTTATTCTTTTATATATCAACGATAAAAAGAATAGATAAGTTTACTTCAACGTTGATTTTATTACATAGAGAAAACCTTATGACTTACTTTACACAAAATATATAAATACTGTAAAAGACAATTCACCAATGACGTTCAGGTTAAATACGTATTTTTCGATACCTTATTTCCCTTCATCTATCCAAACTTGTTTAGTTTCATATCAATCTCAGAAATATTTCACTAGTCTCTCCCCCATTCAGGCTTGTTCAGTTTTGACGCAAGTTTCGCACTTCTTTCCCTGAATTTCGTTGATGGATGACCCCTAGTGGAACAGCAATAATCATTCGTTGCTCGAATCTTTTATGTAATTTTACAACATATGTGTACTCTTTACTTAAGATATAGTTCAGCTGATTATTGTAATGTTGATAATAGAGTTCAATGTATTTATCGAATTCATTCATTGCCAATTCAATTTTGCCATCATTCAAGAACATTAAAATATTTACTCAACTTAAAACACATATTCTTGATAATATTGATTTCGAATCTCTTGAAAATTTTCTCAAATATTTAATTTCATTATCAACATTGTACTTTTTAATGATCAATTCTGTTGATGAAAATTGTGATTAAAGTATTATCTATCATCAAATATTCCGTTTATCAGCATTAACATTTTGTATATTATCATTATTTGATAATAATGGATCTGATCCATTAACTTATTACTTTTGATAATTTTAGTTCTATTGAATATCTCATTATTAAGAATAAAGTATTTCTTGGTGAATTTATAGCTCTTTTATCATATGTTTCTCAACTTCATCGTTTATTAATTAATTGTCTACCTTATTTTTACGATCTACAAAATAAAAAATTTTCAATTGTTTTAAATGATCTAACAGATGTTTATCGAAATACGCGTACGAGATATTGTACGTCTGCACAAGAATTATTTCCGAGACTTGTTTAAAAATAAAGAATTTGTCGTTCTCTGACCCTAATCCATTCGATCAGACTGATTCGATGGAAAATTATTCTATTTATTCTAGTAGTTTGAAACCTTCTTTCCAGCAACTTTTGAATATAAGCGACCAGTCGTTCGTCGGCCCGCCAATCGGGGCGCCATTCACGACTAGCCACTCACATGCTTATATCTCCCTCCTAAAAACTCATCTACTTTTTTCAACAATACAGCCAATTCAGTTCCTACTATTTTTTATATTTATGAATAGACAACTTCTCGAGAGGAAATTCTAAACACAACATTTTGCTGTGAAGTATTATGTCTTGAGTTTTACGACCTTACTCGAAAATCAGCGTTATTCTATAATTCTCCATGAACGAAATCTAATTGGGTTCTACTCAAGAAGCTTCCTAGATCTTATACGGCTGGTTTTCAAAACATATCTATAATGAACCTTTCCGCCGTGAGGTTAGTCGTTCGTCGGCGCCGCTCACGACTAGCCGCTCAGTTATTTAATTCTGATTCTCCAATGGATCGCATACCTTTATATATATGTCATATCGAAGTTACACCGGCCGACGAAGTTACAACTAGGGTGTGGGTGTGGGTGTGGGTTTAAGGACAATAAAGACCCACACCCACACCCTTTTCAAGGATTCCAAGAATCTCGGCGGCGCTTGCGAGTATACAATGATTGAAAAGTTTATAACAAAAAAAAAATTTTTTTCTTGTCCGCAGTTCTTTATTTATTGGAATCGATATTGAATTTTTGTACTCGATGATTCCCGCTATCGACGACATAGAGATTGCCGTGTTGATCGAATGACAAACCAACGGGCCCATTGAGTTGGTTCGATTGTTCTCCTCTATCGTTTCCACCAACAATGACACTTCCCTTTGTGGCTCCTTTGGGCCAACGCATGACTCGATCATTCCCGTCATCAGCCACATAGACAGTGCCCAATTGATCGACAACGACACCTTGAGGATCTGACAATTGTGTAAGACCATTTTCTCCTTTACCCCCAGCCACGACAATACCTTGTTTTGCACCTTCCATCCATTTCATCACACGATGATTTCTCCAATCAGACACGTACACTGAATGATTTCGATCGACGAATACGTATTGTGGGATAGAGAGTTGATCGAGACGATTTCCACTTTCATTGCCACCTGCAACCACTGTTCCTTGAGATTCTCCTCTTTGATATCGTCTCACTTCAGCTTTTCGATAGTCAACGACATAGAGAGATCCATTCTCGTCCATTGCCAAACCCACACAATAGATGTTGGAGATGATTGTTTCTCCACTTGTCCCATTTCGACGAGGCCATCGAACCACTCTAGTATTCGAACGATCGCAGATGATGAGACTATCTCTCTCTTTGTCAACAATTACATCTAGTGGTTCAGACAACTGGTGAGCTCCACTTCCTTCTCCATTTCCACCGGCAACCACTTGGCCACTCGTTGCACCCCATTTCCATTCCACAACACGGTGATTCCATCGATCAGCGACATAGATTGTTTGATCATCATCCACATACAAACCGAATGGGTTAGAGAGTTGATTGATTTCATTGCCTTGTCTATTTTTTCCAGCTACAGTGAGACCATTCTGTTGCCATCGAGCATTTGGATAAATGTCAATGGAATTCCCACGTAATGGATGGCCTGAATTAAAGAGAAAGGAGAGGATAAAATGATAAAATAAGAGAGAAGAGAAAGAGAAAGACTATAGAGAAATAAAAGTGAAAAGTTCATTTAAACTTTTGCAAAATCAACATCGTTCCAAGTTTTGACGCATTTCCGAATTTCTCTTTTGATAGTTGGTTTTTTGTGTTTCTTTTTTCGAGAGGGTGGGGCTATCAAAAAATGATTTATTTTGTTTCTTTTCTTTTTTGCTTTCTTTATTAGTTAATTTATCGTAAAATAACTATTGATAGATGTTTTTTCTGTCTTGTACTACATATGTACATATTATCGATTACTAATATATGGTCGAAAAAAAACTTTTTTTTTTTCGACTATCTTTGATCTTATATTTGAATTAGTGGACTTCAGAAAAGACTCTAGAAAAGCTTTTTCGTAGAGATGAAATATCATCAGAAACTATGAATCTATTGAAATATAGGTCATCGTAATTAATAAATCATTAATGCAAATAAATAAAGTTCTTTTTTTCTTGGGAAAAGAGAAATAGATCACAGTCGTCATTCTTTTACAAATAATGGATTTTTGTGGTCTTATAAAAGTGTAACAATGAGTATGTATATATATATATATAACAGTGGAATCTCATATTGTTTCATCGACTAATAGATAGAGAGATAGAGAAAGAGAGAGAAAATCATGAACAATAGAAATAAATTAATTAAAAAGAATTTGAAAAGAAAAAATCTTCATTATATTCATATTGGTTTTAATAGAACCATCTCTTCTTTATATATATAATTAGATATTAGCAACTTCATTAGAGAACATTCAATTATGTACAATACTGCTTTTTTTTAAAGTTCAAACGAGCTCAGAATTTTTCCGATAGATTGGGAAAAGAATAAAAGAGTTTATATTTCTACATGTATTTTTAAAAAAATAAGAATATCAGATATTGAAACTAGTTCATTAGTTTTCTTATCAGATTTTTTGTTATGTACATTAAATATATGTTAAAGAAAGTTCTAGACAAAAGAAACTTCTTCAGACTACACAACTGAAATTTCTCTATTGTTTTTTATTTTCTTTTTGTTCTTCATATTTATCTGCAAAATCACATGCTCATTAGAAGTCATTTTTTTTACGCATTATGTTGCTTTTCTAGAGTCGATTGTTATAATACTTTTTTTTTCTAGACTTTTTCAGATGTAGAAAAAGCAAAAATAATATCATGACAAAGAGTTCAAGACACGAAAAAACACAATATTATCCTGAATATTTTTATTTATAAGTTATTATATTTTTTAGAAACGTAAGATATTAGTTAAAAGAAATCTACGCTTAGCCATCATTTCGGACTTAGCAAGGTTCGTTTCCAGGGCTGCAGTTTTTAACGATAATTAGTCTTAATGAAAAATATGTTTTCTTTTTGCTAATAAAAAATTTCAGTTCCATAAATTGAACTAGACTAAAGTTTGAATTTATTCATAGACGATTTATACTTCACACTGAGAATTTCTTAAGACTATGTCATTATAAAACTATAGAACTTGATGTTGTCTCTAAAAAATGATCAAAAAAGATTCATATCTTAGGAGAGAGGTTCACTTCCCTTTTCTTATATTTTGTTTTCATAGTAAAGTAACACTGATAAAAAGAAATTTCTAAAATGGTTCACTTATTACTATTTAATTACATATGTCAAGTGAACTTTAGTTTCTTTCAGTAAACTTAGCGCTACTTTTTTCTATATGTGATATTAACTTTGACTGCATGATTAAATGACACAGATGGATACCATCATTAAAATGCTTTTCTCTTGGTCCAGTTTCTGCATCATAGTCAATCTTAGTATAACTTAATAAAAAGCAGTTGGTCTAATATTTTTTTAATTGAAAATGTAATTCTAGTTCACATGTTTCTTATAGTAGAGAGATGAGTGCTTCGTTTGTAGTCATTTACAGTTTCCTAATATCATCTTACATCTTTTTTTGATATCAGTTTAGCTTTATTGATCAAAATTGAAGATTTTTCTTTAAAAAATAGCTTTGTTATTCTCTAAATAAGAATCTGTTGATCGATTTTCTTTGAATCTCTCTCTAAAATTTCTATATCACATCTGTTTGATCTCAAGTCAATGTTTATTACAGATAATGACTTGAATGCTGTAAGAAAAGAGTTACATAAATGTATCTTTTCAAATCTAATACTGTTGTCACTTTCGCAATAAAAAAAGATGATGTATGTTACAGATCTAGTATATAAGTAGTATAGAATTTACAAGTTGTAGCCAGAATATAAACTGTTAATTTTTCAGCTAGTCAACATTAAGAATAACCAATTATGGTACCCCCTAACAGATATTCACCTCAACCATACTGACAATCAAATAAGAAAACAATCATTTGATCCTTAAAAAAAAAAGATATAACTAACAAATAGAGCCTTCTATCCATCGATTCATTTTGAGTTTAGTAGACAATTGTTTAGTCTAAGTAACATTCACTCGAAACTAAACGGATACAATATATAATACGAAGAAAAGAGAGAAAATTTGTATTCAGGTGATGGCACGTTCAAGCTATCTGTATCGAATAGACTTTTTTAATTTTTATTATTGTTAAACTCAATTAAATTACATTTTTCTATTCAATTTTTGATACTAAATCAGAATCGATCATTTCTAGACGGTTTAGGAAATAAGAATAAGAGAAAATAGAGAAGTTTTGAACAAAAAGAAGCGACTTTTGGTCATATATTCGTTCTCATTCATGATTTAACTTTTTAAAACAACATACGAATAAGTGAAAAATACAATTCACTCGAATCTTTGCATTTTCTGCACTTTACGTTTAAATGTTTTAATTTATAGGCAAAAACAAACGATTATTGTTTTATTTAAGGACGAATAAAGACGAAAGCAAATGATGTTAATCAAAACTTCAGTTTTTTTCTCCCATGGAATGTCCTAACTTGTCAATTATTCTTGATTTCTCACTTAACACAATCTTTGTATCGTAAAGCAACTATTTCAACAGAAAATAGAAGGAAATTCAGTTGAAAAAAGAAGAACCTAAATTTTGTTTTCAATCGAAAGTCGTACCTTTAGCTGATTAATTGGAAATTTATCCGAGGAGGAAAGTTACTAGTACGAAGTAATGGAAAATGGAAACGCGCATTATTCAAACTCCTCGATATCTGGAAACATTTGATAAAGCTGCCTACGAAGTCTTTAGTTTTGGGAAAATATAGGTTCGATCATTCATTAAAGGATTCAAGAACTGTAATGGTAGCTAACCTCGACTACTATTGAATTGATTCTTCTCCTGAAATATTCTATTCGATTCCTGACTACATGAAAAACAGAACATTAACGAGCGAGTCGTCAAGAATTTCGTTCTTAGTATTTTCAATGTGACTGTTCTATTTTTCAAATGATTGACACGTCTTTTTTTTATGATTCGGTCCAAGAACTACGTTAAATATAGTAGTAAAAAAAATGAAAAATAAAGGCAACGGATTTGTAAATAAAAAAATAAAGCAATCAACGACACTAACTGGATCAATATTTCACACCCTCGACCTTCCATCACTTAGAGGTTGACTCGGCTTGTTGCTTTTAACTTTAAATCGAGCTGAATAAAAAAGGATTTCTTTGAAAAATTCTATTAGAGATAATTAAAACTGATATTTTCCTATCACAAGACTTCCTGAAGGAGCAGGTGTGGATGTATGTCTAAGAGAGTAGTAACATCCACATACGCACACTCTCACTAACACCAATACTTAGTGTATTATGAGGAAACATTGAATATTACACTACTACTATATGGTGTAACTGGTTTGATGGCATTTTGAGAATCTTTTCTTTCGGGAACAATTGATTTTTCGTTATTAAATTGTGGCAATTTTCACGTGCGATTATTTAGAGCTAGTTGTTGAATTTTCACTTCGCATACATTACAGTGTATTTTCCTATGAACAACATAAAACCAAAAAAAAGCATTTCACGAAGGTTGTGCTTTCTCAAAAAACTTGAGTTCACATACATTCGTGTGTAACTTTTTCCATTTTTTACTTATCGTAACATCACAAGAGTAGAAGCTATTGACTTCAAATTTATGGTGTGATGGAAAACGAACGAAGAGAAAAGTGTCGAAAATATCGAAAAGTAGAGTATCGAAAGGAAAAATGCCGAATAAATAATGTCAAATTAAACGAGTACATTTTCATTATAATAATTTATAGCGTCGATAAAAAATTTATTGAATAAAGAAAAAGGATAGAGAAATTCATAAGGATGTGAGTGTGATGTTATTCTCTAAACCATTAATCAAACTCACATTCCCACACCAGAGCATATCCGGCTCAAGAATTTTTGGACCCGATCGAGTCCAGATCAGAGTGGGATCCGATGTGCTCTATCCAAAATCCTCGATGCCCGCCCTTGAAAATATTAGCGTTCTATAGAGAATTGAATTCTGCATCTAACTCAAGCCTACGAGCACATATCAGCAGGGAAAATTCCAATCCACTGGTAATTTTCCTTACGTCATCATTCACCATATTTTTTTGCAATATTTTTAGCACCAACATAAGATAATCCATCGGGTGTGAGTGAGTCTAGCCTTCATCTACAGCCACATGCATATATGAATCTAAATTTAAGCCCAAAATCCTACATTGATGGCTGCACTCACATCCCAAAAACAGCCTTTCAATTGTCGCATTCAAGCGATCTCTTACAATTAATATCTTTTTCATTCTATTTTTCATACTTGATATTTTTTCTTTCTGTTTTTTTCTATCCATTCAAACTTACATTGATCTCTTTCAATTCTCTTAAAATGATAAACGAAGCACATCCCTTTATGCTTCAAGAGAAGAAAGACTATTCCAGTTAAATGTCCTGTCACCTTGTAATTAGAATCAATTAATCGGAGCAACAAAATAAATTTGGACTCATTGTACATCATTCGATCCTTAAAATTTTTTCTCGTTGTCAACTGTTCAAGCTACTTCTATCAATTTGGCTAGCGAACCTGCCACGTGATTTTGAAAAAACTCTCGAAAATGTGAAGACTTATTTGTCTGCCTAAAAAGAAAGCAGATTATTAAGTGAGAAGGTGCTCAGAAAGATCTGAAATTTTTGATTGTACAAGACAGCTTGTGACTCTCATACAATGACTTAAAGCAGCATAATATGTATCTTACTTTTCTTTCCTTGAATACGAGCAAGTTGATTGGTCAAATTTTGAATTGTTTCACTACACTTTGTTTGTCTGTAGAAAATTTTGTCGCTAGATTGCTCTAAATAGAAAAACATAGAGAACTGAGGATTTTATTCGTAATCACGAATGCAGAATCTTTGTGCGATTATCAGAAACCGTATTAGCAAGTCTAAATCTTTTGACGAATTTCTATGAACTTCAAACATGAATTTAAGTAATAAAATAATGAATTCTATCAGACTCCGAAACTGTGAACATGTTGAGAAGGATCTGTCTGGGTCTTGTTAGAAAGATCTCATGAATGAGGATTTCAAATCCTTGCAAGACAAAGATGCATAGTAATCAGTGTGGATTTGCGAAAACCTAAGAATTCAGTATGAATGACTCAAGATGTTTTTCATATGGTACGACAAAATGCTTGATCACATGGTTTTCTGCGTTATGACTGTATATTTGTCAAAGGATCTCGTAAATATTCGCATATGAGATCCAGGCGAGATTATATTAGGTTTATGGAAAATTATATCAAGCTCCTCCAAGAAAGATCCTGATCGAATCTAAGCAAGATCATAAGAAGGTTTGTATGCATGCAAAAACTGAGTAAACTTTACAGAATTTCACATGAATCTTAGGACACTAGCGCCTTCTACTGAGAATAATGTTTCCTCAACTGTGTAGAAGGTCATGTGGAATCAAATGAGTTTGTAACTATGCTTGTATGTTTGCTGACACATATATAGTCACGTGGATAAATATTCGTGAAGGTTTGAAAATATTACAAGAATAAGATTCTCCGTAATGGTAACTCGATCAAGCAACTCAACTTACTTGGCACACATATATATATAACGTCTGAACTATGATTTAAAATTGACTATAATCTCAGTTGACAGTATTATTAAGAAAGTATGTTTTTGGAAAACATGCTGAAATCTTTTTACCAAACTTCTTGTCTACTCATTGTTTTTTGGTTTAGGATGAGAAAATCACTGTGATTCATTTTTATCATTTGTGTTCTTATGGAGTCTAAAGCTAAAATAGATTTAGTTGTTGTTTTTTTTACATGATTATGATGAAAATATAATGAAAAACAAATTTGACAAAATTTGTTTTTTACATTTTTACTAACAATATATCCTCATAATAAAGGTATCAGTTGGGTGCAATAAATTTCGAATAATAAATTAGAGATTACATTTAAACTTACATCTTTTATGTTTGTTCTACTTTGTATATTCGAAAAATATAGAAAAATCTAAGTGTGCTCGAAACTTATGAAATATCATATATCTGAATTCATGTAGAAGTCAAAGTTAAAATTAGATTTTCATTGAATATGTCTCTCATTGGTACTTTAATCGTTTCTGTAGTCCAAAACGCTCACATTTTTCTAGATGTGATTGAAAATTGAAACTTGAGTTAGATTCAACTTTGAAGTTTGACATGTATGGTACCTTTTATAACATTTACACTCTATACAAATCTTGTTCTGATACAAACTATATTAGAGTTGAAAAGATGCACCGATACACTCTGGGAACTGTTCATGTGCATTAGGCTATAAATCAAACTTTATCATAGTATAAATGGTCTTGGCTAAAGTAAGATCATGACTCTAGACTTGTTTATAGTTTTTTTCCTCAGAATTAAATAAATGTTCTCTAATTACTTGATTTTGTGGAATTCTAAACGAGTGAGTATAAACGTATATTGCCTAGCGAGAATTTTTCTTACAGTTAGTATTCTCTAAAAAACCAGTAGTACTTCTTGAATACAGATTTTTTTATATTCATTTATCTCAGAGAATGTACCATTTTCAGTCTGATGAATGAATTATTTTGATTTTCATAGCAATAATGCTTCTCTCTCATTTCTATTCTTGTTTTCCATTATTAGTATTGCATTATTATGTAAGTTGTTTATGTAAGTTGTGTGTTTTAATGTAGCCATGGACTACCGTATCAAGCTATTTCTTGGGTAATCAACTGAGTTTAAAACTGGCCTGACTCATTTATAAAGCCAATTTCTATCACAATAGACTAATCCCATTTTTTATTAATCATATGTTAGAGGTGTTCACGATGGTTGTATGAGAGACAATTAGAAATGATTGCAAGTTTCTACTATGTGAAAATTATTTTTCAAGCAATATACCAAACAGCAGAGGCTTAAGGTTCCACTGTATCTCCTATGATGTACCTTGTGACTAAGACACAATATTAGTCGTAGCAGTCTGAATTCCAAATATATTCTTGGATAAAATCTCAAATAGGAATATTTAAAAATTAGTTAACACTCGCTTCTTGTCTTTGCTCGAAATGCTTGAAAATTCTTGAAAACTAGCCTATTTTTGGACACTTTCCAAAGAATCGCCCATTTAATTATCGAGAATGTTTTTTTGATCTAGGAATTTTTTTTAGATTTCTCACAATTAATTAGTTGATTTTTTACTTTCAAAGGATTTTACCGACGACTCCAAAAGGTAAATGTGTGCATGGCTATTATGAAGCTTTTTCTATTACACTGCGTACGATATTTTTCATTGCAATTATATATAGAATACTAAATAATCTTCTCTCAGAAATGTATCAATTTTTTTCATCTCTGTTCAATAAAATATGAGAATATCTTGTCTTATTTGAAAAACCGGAACACTTGAAGTTGAAAGCGAATTTCTTCGTTCGATCTTATTATAGAATATTTTTGTGAAATAAGTCACATTAGGTGCTAATTGTAATAGAGGAAAATTTAGCTTCGTTTCGCTGAGTATAATCCTCTGAAGACTACGAATGCGATCAAGACATCGAATAACTTTCAACTCTATCACAGCAAGAACTGTTTGGTGTTCAGACTGAGAAACTGGTCTTTATTTCACCTAACTTCCTCACTTTCTCAATCGGCTTCTCAACACCTATTCCATCCATCTCTCTCATGTTATACGATCAAATACACTCACACCTAACAGCATGTGAATCTCTCATCTTTCTAGTAATTATATAAGCATTATCTTCTTAGATAAAATTTCATAATTCGGAGAGTTATCTATCGATAACAAGACGAAACATATGATCAAATGTAATCTTTTTGGAGTGGAAAACAACATTATAGATATACTGTTTCATTTCAACTGATTGTATCCGTTTATGAACACATAAAGAAATCAAAAGTAAGAGAGGAGAGTCAATTGCGGCTTGATGAATGACAACCTGCCTAGGCAGCAAATATGCAGCGATGGAAAAGACCAATTTCCATAGGTTTCATTCATTGAGACTTATCTCTTTTAAAGTTTATGCTTTTAATACCAGACCTGCCACATACGACTCCAATAGCATCGATATTCATCTCTATTAGTTATAGAAAATTACCAAAATATGACATCATTTTTTATGTTAGAGATATGTAGAGTAGAATGAAGTTCGCCTATTCTCTTGCTTGATTGGCTATTTTCAAGCCGAATCGGATTAAAAATTTACATTTCTTCGGTGAATAAATGAATGTTTACGGAAATAGCTCGAGAATAACGCTTGTTTGTAATGCTATGAGTGATTTCTCATTATACTCACAATAAAAAATTTTCTCAATCAACGACACATCAACTATCAACTTATTTTATGAAAGTTGTTCAATCTCAATGCATAAATCTAGAGACTCATCTGAAATAGATTTTCTCTACAGAAAATATTCTGCATCGATCACTATCTGACATATCATTCAAATAGCTATTACTTTACCTGAATTTTTCACCGAGGGGCCTGAAGCAAATGTTCTCGAGAGATAAATGGCTAACGGAAGGCTGAATAGAATCAGAATACTGCTGGTAAGTAGAATCCATTCACGAGTGTTCAATTGTCGTTTGAATATCCGATAAGTCCATCCAAGTTTGTGAATGTACTCATTCGTTTTGTTTTGTTCAGATAGTAATGAGCTCGATGCTTTATTTTCGAGGCTTAGATCTGTAGACGAGGTCGAACGATCTACAGTCAAATTTGAATCAGATGGAATACGCATGATCTCTGAAAGGAAAGTTCTAATTGTAAACAAAGTAAAGCCTCCTATTGATACTAACTAGCCGAAGGCATCTTATTCTCATCGTCGTTGTCGAATAAAAGAATGTCTTGAAGTGAGCAACTTCGTTGACTAAAATGTTCCAATGCTAGCTGATATTCTGAAAAATAACAATATAACATAAAGAGCTCGTTAAATGTGAGTTTTGATAAGAAATAGAAGAAACGAACCTTGAAGACGTTTTGCAGCATCATTACAATGTATTTTCTTGAATGCTTTAATAAGGTAATCACAATCTTGATCGCTGATTATTGCCTTTTCGAAAAGAGATTCCAATACACGAAGCGTTCCATTAAGTGATGGATCATCGCGCAAATATCTGGGAACGTCTTCGCCAAGAAGAAAAAGAAAACGAAGTCGATCATTATCGGATAGAAGATCTTGTATTTTGAGTAGCAATGCTCGAAAATCAAATTCTCCACTCATTTGATAAAGAAAAATCACTATCTATAAAATAGTAATAGAACATCAGTTGATATACATTGTCACTGAGACAGATTAGTCAGCTATGTCTGTAATGAGTATAACTTGCATAAGATGATGCCATATAATATAGAAGAGAAAAATAATATGAGAATAGATAACGTAATTTTTTTTCTCGTCTCGTAAAAGAAACAACACACAAAATGGGTAACATATTCGAGAGAAAAGAAAAAGTGGCGAATAATGAGAATACGATTAATAAGATTGTTTAAATTCAACACTAGTTATATACTAGTGTCTGTACTTTATCAATTCTTTATATTCATGAATCTTCATGTCGACAAGCTTCGGTGAGCTTACATCTGTTCAAAGGTACTTTCCCTCGTTTTTTTTGACCAAAGAATTGATTTTGAGTTGCTTACTACGGTTCGAAGTTCGCTGCTACATTTGCCTTTTCTTTTCTTCTATTCTGGATCTTCTTTCAGTCGTGGATATCAAAGAAGAAACTCTATCGAGACAACAGATAAATGTTACGTAAATGGGAGAAAGAAAAACAAACCAGTGCAGAACGAAAGAATAATACTATACTACTCTGGTTTTTTTAACAGTCTCTTGTCTATGACACATGAGTGACCCATTTTCTTATCGGTCAGAATACGACAAGGGGAATTTCACACAGAAAAGAAACGGGAGTGCTGGGAAAAATCTCTTGGCGACTGCCAACTAGAATGTAGGGAAAAACCCGGTGAGAGGAGTCACGATGAATGTCATTACTTGAGATATCGAAAAAAACTGAATCAATTCTATACACATAAAAATTATAGAAGAATCAAGTAACAGTTTTTTCATGAAAAATAAAATGCAAAGAGCTGACATGTGAAACGGTGTCAAAGCCGTCACACGATTAACCGGGTAGAAATATCAAAGGAGATATTTCTGATAAAGATCTTTTTCAATTTGGGTAGAAAACACACCGCAATCTAGAAAATCATGGAATGTCTGTTTATAACAGCAGTTATTATTTTCTTGAAGCGACAAAAAAAATTGGAGTATGAAGAAAACGAACAACTTTTTCATGCGTTCTTAGATCTGAACTAATATTACAAATTTATAATGCTTGAATTCAGTTTGTAATGCTTTTTTTTTTATTAATCATAATAGAACACGGTGTAACAAGCATTGCAGTCTTCCAAATATAAAAGTTTTTCTTTCATCGAGATCTCTTTCTGTGATGCAGATATTTAACAATAGAATTCTACAGTATCTTATATCAGAGTGAAAAATTTCATGTTCATGTCTTATTTGTTTTCTACCTATCATGTTAATGATGACAACATAGTGTATGTTTTACATAAATTTACTTCAATATAACATCCTAAAATTTTTCTTTAATTAGTGTGACGGTTGATTTACATAAATGAAAATCTTGATCATTAACGTTTTTAAACAAGATATTTTATTTGAATGGTAAAGTCCATTTGTAGCTATAAAATAAAAAGGCAACACTAAGACTCATTTTATCGATTCATGTTCACAAAACTTATTCACATATTGTTCTCGATTACAATAGTGAACATGTCTTATTATAAAATTCTGATCAATAAATATCCATTGATCCATTGATTGATTTGTATAGTATAATATGATAGAACACTTATTTTTATTTATTTGATGACATCGATCAATATACAATATTGCAATATTCTGGCTAGTAAAAAATTATAGATTTCATAATCGTTCTTGAACTTGAATGTTTCTTTTCAAAAATGATTAATGAATAATAGAATGAAAAAGTTCAATTTCACTGTAAGCACTGTGTGAGAGTATGTATCTGGTTCTGAATGAAGGTTTCCCTTAGCTCATATATACACTCTATTGTGCATGAATGAAAAATATAGATATGGTGTTAGAAATTCATCATGAGGTTGTAGTAAGAATTCAATCACAAATATCAACAAAACAAATCATTTTTTTCTTTTTAGATTTTTTTTTGTACGATTTCATTTTTTTCACTTCCGCTTACTTTTGTTCAGGATCACTAAATCTAACATATGACTGATCTTTGCATATTTTATTTCTTCTATCGATCTTATATATTGTACATTATACATGCTATGCACGTACATCGATATATTGTATCTTCAGCTGAATATGAGAACATATACAAAGAATGTACTTAGGTCAGTCCAAAACTAGTGGCGGAGGTATAGTAATTCCTTATAGAAAGCTCTGAAAAAACTTTTTTCTATATAGTCTGATAGAGAAAAGAAAGGGTGTGGGTGTGGAGTGTGGGTATGGGGTGTGGGTGTGGGTGCAGGGTGTGGGTGTGGGTGTGGGTGGGTGTAGGTGGGTGGGTATGGGGTGGATGTGGGTGTGTGGGTGCTGGTGTGGGTGTGGGTGTGGGGGGAGGGGTGCGGGTGTGAGGTGGGTGTGGGTGTGGATGTGGGTTTGGGTGGGGTGTGGATGGAGAAGTGGGTGTTGTCGAACAAGACAAGTGTATCCACACTCACATACCCCCATCCCACATCCACACACCCACACCCACCCAGACCCAGACTCACACCCACACCCACAACCACACACCCACACTGTAAAGTGCTTTTATTAATAACTTCAATTTGCTGTTCTTGTGACTTTGGCAGCATCTAAATTTTGCACTATAGGTTTTTACATATTTGATTTTGATGAACCACTCTTCGAATGTTTTGTGGTAGTGTGAATATTATCTTTTGATAAAAATATTTAATTAGAGAGTACCATCTATTTTATTGGTAAATAACTGCTTTTAAGCAAAAACAAATTGGTGGAAAACAAGAAGGAAATAAAATGCAAGCCGCATTCCAAAAAAATATACTGAGAGATATTGTCATGATTGTGTTTGAATATAAGACTTGTTAGTTTGAATAAATTAGTCGAAAAAAAAGCAAAAATATAGTTTCCTAACCCGATGACAGGTTTTTTTGAAAGGACATAATACTGAGGAAAACGTTGCTTTTTGCCTTTGTTGAAAGGGTAGTGGAATTAGATAGTCTAAATGTTTAGAAAATAAGACGTCATCAATTATAATTTTCACCGAGATTCGTTTATTCGACTGTTATATTTAAAAAAAAATTTTAAAGAATTCTATTGATCGAGAAGAACTACACATATCTATTACAAATTCTCAAATTTTATTAAAACTTATATCATATAAAAGTTGATAAGTCAACACAAAGTTATTTAGAGTCACCAACAAATAATTTAGGTTAAAAGAATTAGAAAGTTTTGATCTAATAAAAGCATTTCGATATTACTACTGATATTGTCACATATATTAGACTAGGTTTTCCTCGGTTATTCCATTTACAATTTACGATCAATGAAAGTTATAGCTGATGTAATGATTCGTACGCAGTTTCACCTTAAATCAACTCATACTTAGACATGCATGGTGCAGTCTTCAAGATAGAGAAAAGTCACCACAAATATAAAAATGTGTTTAGATGCGAAAGATAGTATAGTTATATAATGTTTATAATGATTATAAGTCATTCACCTGCTCAGACTTTTAAAGTATTACTGATGTAAAAGTGGTAGTAAAAGGACTACAAGAACTAAAAGGAGTAAAGAGATAACGATCGATGATACCTGTAAATGATTTGCTATACCGGGATAACTTAAATTTTTTGTGGATCCCTCCTCTAGTGAGACTAAATGATATTCAAACTAATAAATCATATTTTTAAGAAAAGAAACAAAAAAAAGAAGGGATTATCTAACTTCTTTGGCAATGCGTTGAGTTTTGTAGATAAATCTGATTATTGTATATCATTATAATGTATCAGAATGACGAATCTTAAGTGAAAGATTGTCATCAATTGTATCCACATGTCCTTCATCATTCAACAATTCATCTGTACTATCAGTCAATGGTATTTCTAAAAAAAATAATGTCAAATATGTTTTAGTATAGACAATTTACTCGGTTTTTCAGCCTGAAAATCAATTTCCACTTTAATAAACATTGTATCATTTTGAACATATTGATTTTGATTTTTTTCAAATAAATCAAGAGAAAGAAATGTTGAAGTACCATCAACAATATTTATATCGGTAGTTGAATGTTGAAAACAGCTTGATGTTGTATTAAACCAAAAGGAAATCGATTGGTTATTGTTCGATGATAATTGATTAAGTAAAGTAAATGTTACTTTAAATTTAAATGGCCAATGAAAAATTGTATTATGATTACCTTGCATTAATACCAAAAATAATGACATGTGTGTACCTTGTGTATTATTATCCCCATTTAAACATAATTGTAAACACATTTTATAATCTGTTTGAGATGAATAAAATGATGGAGAATAGATTGATATTTTTCGTTCTGATATAGCATCCACTAATAAATAAATATCAATACATACATCAGTTTAAAATATTTAATTTCTTTATATACTTCTCTTTTCTTGAAAATTCGTTATCTTCCACGTTAGTGTACCATCAAACGATGTAGCCTGAGCATCTTCAACATTCTCTTTCAAAATTAGGAATTGTTGATATAATAGATTTCGATTAATTTCTATTCCATAGATATGATCATTGATTTCTTGAACTATTGTTTTAAATGAAGACCATTGTTGAGCCATAACTGAAATAGCATATTGATGACTGTTAAGTTCTCTATTGATTCGTTGTATATCATTATTTCGAACGTTTGTACTATTTAATAAATTGGATATTGCTCCTTGAATTTGACTATGATTTAAATTACTATTGTTTGTTGTACATATTAAAGACAAGGTGGAAAGAATTTCTTGATGTATTTCATCTAAATAATGTCGATGAAGGTTACTTTGAGCTACCTAAAAAATTGTGTTCATTAATACAGTATCATTAATTCAATATTTACTTGTTCGTTGCAAATGGAACAGTTGGTAAATTGTTGATGATTTTGATCACGATGCTTCTAAAAAAATGATATAACTGTATAATAAAAAATAACTATATAATATTTTTTACTTGATAAAGTTTCAATGACCCGTTCCACTCACATTCTAAACATGTCGTTGGTAATTGTTGTATTTCATTTTGAAAACCTCGATCTAACCATATCTTCAAGAATAGATATATGTATTTGGAAACAAAATTATTAAAAATAATTAAATCAATTACTTTATCTTTTGAAATGAATTTCAAACATGTTGCACAACTAATAAGACAAAGAAACAGACTATTATTATTAAAAATAAAATAAAAATACATTTACCTGTTTTGATTATTTATACATGATTTACATTGTCGATGTCCACATTCAAGCTGAAAAGGTTCTTGAAAAAATAATTTACAAGATGGACAAATGGAACGTGAATTGATATTTTTCATAAAAGAGTCCTCTTGAATTGTAAAAGCAAATCGTTTTGACACTGAAGAATGACAATCAGCATTATTCGTTCGTTTTGCAGAGAGACGTTCCATGGTTGACGTAGCAATGTTGTAAATTGTCGGTCGGTCAATTGATTGGGATGAATCTACAGCTCTCCCAGTCTCAGCATTTAGTAATTGTTTTTCTAAATCACGTTCAGGGCAAAACTCGAATTTTTCACTTTCTTCTGATCCAAATGGAATACAACTTTGACCATATTGAAGGGCATCACTAGTATCATAGTATACATAAATACGCCGAACTTGTTCAATATGGTGAACAAATTTTTCTAATAATTCTCTGAGATACAGGACAGCAATATGTAAGTGAAAAGTATTTGTATCCTTGATATGATCACATACATATTTGCGTAAGGCGGTCACGTTGAAAAATAACTTGGTAAAATGACCAAATTTATTCTCTGGAATAAACTTCTCAGAGAGTACAAGAAATTGGCATACACGATCTTCACTGTTACTAGTAGCCATGTACGATGATTTAATACATGAATATGGAATATAAATCAAAAATTGATATTCTGTATTGATAATTGAAACAATGAACAATGAACAATGAAAAAATAATAAAATTCGATTGTTCTAAGAAAATAGATAGAAATCTAAAATCTAAAATATATTTATTGGTTGGCAGATTTACAGACCTACATGCAACAACATAAGTATATTATGAATATACAATTATTAAAATTAGTTACATTAATAACTGGATAAAATACAAAAAAAAATACATATATTATTTTACAGTATGTAGAAAAAACTAAAAACTTGAAAGTATGTTTGACTACATCATTTTCTTGCTTTACATAATTTTTTAACGATATAAAAAAGAATGAATGATTAGCACTATAACAGCTATTATCATTCTTCTTTATATATGGATGTACACAAGCGTTGCTACAAGATGCGGAAATAAATATCAAATTGAAAGATTTTTATTTGATCTGAATATATTCATAGGTTGAACTTATCTTGATTAAAATAATAATTAAAACTTTCGGGTATAATAGTTTAACGATTATTACATACTGTGAATATCAAAAATTTTAAAAAGCCTTTCAAGATGGCTCATGTCAAGGAAAAAGAACAAGTGAATCTGCTCAATATCTTCGTACAACATAGAGTGCAAAACTGTTGAACTATAGAGTAAAAAATTTGGGTTCTCTACTATTACAGAAGTAACTGAGGACCTTATGAATCTGGGACTTATGTATCAAAAAGTTGTTTCGCTTATTTTTCAACAATTGTTTTTTTTTCATACGAACAATAAAACATAGACAATTTTTTAAAGTTTTTTTTATTGATACTATCAGATAATCACTCACGTTCTTGTACATTTTAAAGTTTCTTCACTATTGCACAAAGCTTAAGAGCACGATCATAGTTTCGTTGAGCTTCTAATTCATTATTTTCATCTTCTCTTTGTTGATCACCTATTTCTTCCGAGAAAAGTGCAAGATCGATGATTAATTTGATTAGAAGACGTGTATCATCAGCAAAGATACCATCAATTTTTATATAAGATCTTGAAAATCTTTCCAACATTGTTAATTCATTCGTCCTACAACGGATAAGTATAGAACGAATACTTTTGTACGCATGAGTGTGGGACACAATATTTTGAATATTAGTATTTGTTTCAATCATCAGAGAAGCAACCCTTACTGAAGAATAGATATTTAACCAATTCCACAATTGTTCTTTTGTCGAGAAGAGAATTAAAGTTATATCTTTAGGTATCAAATATTCAATAAGAGCAGCTCTCAGTGACGAGTGTTTCTCACCCAGCCAGAGCACTACAACAGCGCCAGCACATACTAAAACAAACAATAAAAAAAAAACTACAATTAGTATTTTCTTGTTCCAAAAATATCACAAGAATCCTTGTGGACTGGAACAGCTCCCCTACCATTGCCATGAATCAAACGAGATTGCTCATATCGATCAGACAATTGATCCACTGAATTGTCATTATCATCGATAATTTCATCGCTTTGAGGCAATGATGCTCGTGGTAGAATAACTGTTAATAACTGAACAATCGGTAATCTGTCTACTAAAGTTGTCATGAGAATTTTTAAGATCTTTTTCAATTGAAACAAAAGGGAAACAATTAATCATAAATAAAATGAAATGAAAAAAATCTGAAAATAAATACGTTTACATTGATAGTTTACAATTGAAATTCGACAAATAAAAGGAATACTTGGATAAATGAAAAAAATAATTCGACATAATATTAAATGAGTGATTCTCTATTCGCAAATCATTTATATATTGAAAATGACGAAGAAAACGGCGTTCTCTTACTTCCATAAGAAAATAACATTTTTTTTTTACAGAGAGAAAAAGAACGGAAGCACATCAACTGGGAAAATTCCCAGTTCTCTTCAATGGAATCGGTTTAAGGTCAAATTAAAGCTGAAAGTAGTTCTTTTCTTAAAACTTTCTAACTTACGAATAGAATCTATTTATAAGATGATTATTTGACAAAAAATTGGATTCTTCAAGTTTTTCTTTAATATAAAAGAGTAACATAGTAGCTCTATCCCAAATTATCGATGTGTATAATTCTTACCAAACATAGAAAATAAAAGTTTTCTTGAAATAATCCGTATATCTTAATCAATTTACCTTTATAAATAAAACTTATATGAATGATTTAGAGACTATTATGGCGAACAAGATTAATTAAACATCTACAAATAAGATAGTTATGTTGGAATATTCTAAGCAGAAAGAAAAGAACAGAAAAAAAAATATTCATTTGTTTTTATTATATGAGTAAAGCTTTATAACAAACGTATATGACAATGAATCATTAATCTTAGAGATCAAATGAAAAGATTCATATCTGCTGTGATTTTTTTCGTATGTTACTTGCTTGTTGGTTTATATTTGTTTTCTTTCCTTTTTTACAGCCGCTGCTGAGTTGGAAAAATCCAACCTTCGAGATTTTTTTTTCATTCTGCCAGAGTACTCAATTCTAGGTTAAAAAATATTAGATGTTTATATATATATATGAGAGAAATAGAATACTTTTTATCCTTATCAAAGGGAGTAAAGATGTTAAAAAAATAAATAAGTTTTGAATCATCGATTACTATCAAATATTTAATGTTTAATCAAAAACTACAAGCGTTGCGATCCTACAAAGACTAGTTCGGAGATTAAAATATTGACAAATTATTATCTGTAGAGTTATTTCGTAACAATTATAAAACAAAGAAAATCATTAGATTATGTTTATTTTAAATAGTAACTAATTCCTTTGTCAAATCAAAGTTAATTATACCTTGACAATTTAAAGATTCGTATATGTATCATGCTATTTGAATGTTCAAAAATTGTACTATTATATCAAAATTTATCATGAATATTTGAATAGAAAAAGAAACAACAGATATAAAAGTAGAAAGCAGCCCTCATTTAGTTCTATAGTCTGAATTAAAACATATTTTTATTTGTTGCTAATAGTTATTTCGAAAATAATTCAGATTAAAATTCGAATTAGTTTCGTTGATAGTTTAAATCCGCATCTACTCTTGTCTGTATATTAAATTCTTAAGATTATTCATCAGAGATGCTCACAAGGTGAATTTTTACAGCCTGCTCTGTTAACAAAAGCTGTTAGCGCAATCTCTTGCGAAATTAAAAATGTGAAACACGATGGATCTACAGGGTGATTGAAAAGTAACTCCCTATTTTAAATTCTTTATTACTCTCAAATGACAAAAGATATCATAACGATTATTTCATTGTTTTGAAGCATGTGTCATGCCATTTTATAGTAGATGAAACAAGCCGGTTGATCATTTGACTATCTAAGATCAAGCACGAATTTCATCTCGAGAATGTCTGAAAATAGCTCATTATTTTGAATACTGGTATTTCCTTATATAAGAACAGATACTATAATAACCACAGAAGTGTACGGACAATAGAGAAACCTATGTAGAAATTTGAGACATTATATGTTATTGTATTATGCATAGTTCAAAATGGTACAAAAATTTGTTATAGTATTTGTTGTCGTATAAGAACAATAAATTATTCAAAATAATCAGTTATTTTCAGACATTCTCGAGATGAAATTCGTGCTTGATCTTAGATAGTCAAATGATCAATCGGCTTGTTTCATCTATTATAAAATGGCGTGACACATGCTTCAAAACAATGAAATAATTGTTATGATATCTTTTGTCATTTGAGAGTAATAAAGAATTTAAAATAGGGAGTTACTTTTCAATCACCCTGTATTGTTACTAATTAAATGAAAATCCTTTTGTTCCATTTCTTTGCGACACATTTGTAGTTAACCGTTTATCTGATGCTTTGCAACTACAGTTTCTCTGTCACGGTCTGTGATGGATACCCGGGATTCTTTGTCATGGTCTGTGATGGGTACCAGGGTTCTCTGTCACGGTCTGTGATGGGTACCCGGGTTCTCTGTCACGGTCTGTGATGAATATGGGGATTCTCTGTCACGGTCTGTGATGGGTACCAGGATTCTCTGTCACAGTCTGTGATGGGTACCAGGGTTCTCTGTCACGGTCTGTGATGGGTACCCTGGATTCTCTGTCACGGTTTGTGATGGGTACCAGGGTTCTCTGTCACGGTCTGTGATGGGTAACCGGGATTCTCTGTCACGGTCTGTGATGGGTATCGAGGTTCTCTGTCACGGTCTGTGGGTGTAGGTGTGGGTGTGTGGTGTGGGTGGGAGTGGGTGTGGATGTGGATGTCTCTGAAGACAAGATGTACACCCACATCCACCCCATCCACACACGCACCCACACCCCACCCACACCCACCACCCACACCCACCCACACCCACACCCACACCCACACCCACTTATTTCTGAAAGATATGTAAAAAAAATACTTCTTTTAATGAGTTTCTCAATAAATCTAACATTTATCTTTTATTTCATAAATGAGGTCTCTTATGCTTGTTGAAGAACTTTCTAAACGAAGCTTTCTATATGAAAATTTCAATTATCTTCATGTTTATCATTTATGTAAAAGTTTTTTGTTTCAATATACTTTAGACCCATTATCATTTCAATCAAACGCCACATTATACCATTTATTTAATCAATATCAACCAGTTTTGATTTTATTTTTTCTCTATTACACATGACGGTGTGGGGTGTGGATGTGGGTGTGGTGTGGGTACAGGTGTGGATGTGGATTAAAGAAGCAGAGCACATCAACCCACACCCACACCCACACACCCAGAAGAGACTTTAAAAAAGCACATTTCAGATGTTTTGACAAATATGGAAACGAACATTGAATTATTTGAAGCTCTCCTATGTTCGTATCCGTTGTGTTTTTCGTGCTGTAAAAAACGCTAATGGTCGTCACACTAATTACTGATTATATTCATTAGACTTTAAAATATAAAAATTTCTTTGTGATAGTCAACGTTTTGAATCAGATCTGGTTTGAATTATGCTATAAAACTCATCTTCTACGTCAACATAGTCCAAAATTTATGGAAATTTCATAAGTTCATCATTACAAAGTTTTCATATCTCTTACTATTTAGCACCGATAGATCCAGTTTTTCACGGGCTTTAATTTGGTATAAAATTTGTTATAGTTCCTATTTGAAATCATACTGTTACTCGCTGGAAAAATATTTTTATTCACTCTGTACATAAGGGACTCGGAACTGAGTGGTACACGTTGCATTCGTAACTACACATCTTTGGTATCGATTTTTTTTTTCAAAAATAACTGTATTTATGAATAGAAAGATTTCGTTTTTTTTCAATACATTCAGATGTATGAACTGCTTGAAATGAATATTCTGTAAATGATCCTTTAAATGCAAGTTCATTTCTTATTCTTTGCAACATCATGAGTTTTGAAAAAAAAAAGAGAAAAAATTATTATTTTCTTTTTTCATTAGAAAAAAAAAACTTCGATAACTATTTTCTATTCTCTCATGCATATTAGTAGTAATGCACATTTTCTCATCATAACAACACAAAATGCAAAAGTAAGCAGAAAAAGAAAGAACAGAAATAAATTGTAAGAAAAAAATAAATATGATGATGGACACATAAATGAAAAAAAAAAATATCTACGTGATGAAAATGTCATGCTTCATTGATTCACGTAATCGTTGAAAGAGGGAAAAAACCCAGTAACTTCATCAGAAATGAATACAAAGTAAAACCGATTACAAACATACATAAGAACTTCACGTACTTCAGTATTCCTTAATACGTAAGTACGTTTATTTACAATATTATGTAATTAGAGATCAATTTGAGGTATTAGACAGAAGGTTTTCGAATCGCTGAAAAGTAATCTAAAAAATGTTTGTTTGAAGATGCCTAGCATATAAAGTCGATAGCATTCTCCACAACACTTTCTCTCGATGAAATAGTCTCATTAAAACCTGGTCGATGACAATAAAACGTCTTGGTTCATTACCATAATTCCAGTAATCAATCTCATCGGAGACTATTTCCCTAGTAAATAGTTTTAACTAGTCTATATAGACCAACACTGAATTATATGTTGATCGATACTGATCGTAGATTAAAACAGTTTGAAGAAACGGTGAAAAGTAATTGAAAAGACGTTTTGTACGATTTTTGCGAAGAGAGTCGATCTAGTATTGGTAATATCAACAAAACCAATTATTTCGAACTTTATGAAGCATTTTTCTCTGCTCAAATTCATTATTGATCTGAAATTTCTTGAAAGATAAGCAGTTGCATTAAGTATAGTCATGAGTCTCATTTATGGATAATCCTAACTGAAAGAAACTCGATGTAATGTTTCCTAGAGTATACAATCGTTTACTTTTCGAAAAGAAATAACCTCCTTGATCATTGAAATTATATTCATATGTGCAAATTAAAAATTTCATTAATCATCTGTTGTTAGTGATTTTGATAAACGATTCACATTCAGTAGATATAACTTTTCTTTCTAAAAGAAACTATTTTCGATAATTCTTTTATTAAGAAAAGCGTTAAACATAAGATATTCGTGAAAAAGACTTAAAAAATAAATGAAAAAGCCATTTAGTGATAATGAGATGAGTATAAAATTATTGTTTAGATGCTGTTTGATTGAAATCACGAAAGCTAATTGAAGATCAATTTTCTTTGTATGTTTTATTTCGATTGTGAAAAATTTTAGCAAAAAGATATAAAGACCTAAATATATGTCAGCGTCCAAACTGAGATTACGTCCAATCTCAGATTGGCCTAGGCGAATATCGGATCCGAGATTGGACGCGTCCAATCTCGGATTCACGCAATTCTGTTCATTAAAATATCAATTACCCTTTAGACAGACCTTGGATTCGAACTTTTTTTTTTGAGTTATGTTCACACAATGCCAGTTTGTTTGGCACAATTGTCATTTGGCAGATTTGAATAAAATTTTAGGAGTTATGAATAAATTTCTAGAGAACAACAACTTTTGTGAAAAACTTTTATTACATTTTTGAGTCTAAATATAGCTTCTTCCTAAATGCTTGTAATACTTAAAACGGCATTGTGTGAACATAATTTCAAAAAAAAGTTTGAATCCAAGGTCTGTCTAAAGGGTAATTGATATTTTAATGAACAGAATTGCGTGAATCCGAGATTGGACGCGTCCAATCTCGGATCCGACATTCGCCTAGGCCAATCTGAGATTGGACGTAATCTCAGTTTGGACGCTGACATATATGTAGAGAAAACGTAGGTGAGGTAGATGAGTTCTTTTTGTTGCCATTTATTGTCTCAATGTTAATAACTATTGACATTATTATTCACGTAGTCTTCTGTTACCATAAGTATCATTATCATGGATACGAACAATACAAAACTGAATGCTAGTAGTTCCTATTCATCTACGTCATCCCCAACTTCTGCTTCTTTGGTAGTAGTGTAATAGCAGCAGCATCAATAACCATGCAAAGCAATTCTGTGCTTACTCCATCGGCTTGTCGAATTATTCAGAATTTTCTTCTTGTCTGGCTCGATTGTAAATTTGATGAGTCCAAAGAAGATTATAAAAAATCAGTACAACAATTGCGAGATATTATAGTAACAGTTATACCATTCACAGATGTTGACCAATGTATTGATTTTCTCACTGAGATTCAAAATGAAAAAGTTTTCATGATTGTGTCTGATTCACTGGGTGGACGAATTTTACCAGAAATTCATGAATGTCCACAATTAGACTCCATTTATATTTTCTGTGGGAATCAGTCCATTCATGAGTGTTGGGTAAAAACGATACCTAAGGTAAAAGGTACCTATACACAAATCGAACAGGTTTGTACAGCATTACAAGTGGATCATAAAAAGTGTGATGCAGCTATGATTCCGATGAGCTATAATGGCATTGACGCGTTATTTATGTATACACAGTTGTTAAAAGAAGCACTTTTGGACATAGAAGATGATGATACAAAATCAATTAAAGACTTTGTTGAATACTGTCGTCTTCAAAATGATGTTTCTTCACTAACGATTCAAAAGATTGAGAAAGAATATCATAATCATTCACCCATTTGGTGGTACACAGGTCCATATTTTATGTATTCCATGCTCAATCGCGGCCTTCGACTGATGGATGTGGAGATTATCCTCCAAATGAGCTTCTTTATCCGCCATTTACACAACAACATTGAAAAATTGCATCGCAAACAACAGCAATCCAGCTTCCAGGCTATGGGACCATTCAAAGTCTACCGTGGACAAGGCTTACCAGCTGAAAATTTCGACAAAATGAAAAAGACCCAAGGAAGCCTTATGTCCTTTAACAATTTTCTTTCAACAAGTGAAAACCGTGAGATATCTCTTGAATTTGCTCAACAGGGAGCATCGACAGATTTCAATATGGTAGGCATCCTCTTCGTCATGATCATCGATCCAGCGATATGTTCCAGATCATCTATGCCGTTCGTCATCATAAAAGAAGAAGGCTACTATAAAGATACGGAAGCTGAAATTCTCTTTACGACGCATACTATATTTAGAATCGATCGAATCGAACGGATTAACGATGATAACAATGAACAGCTATGGCAAGTCAATCTCACCCTCGTGGATAATTATGATCACGAATTAAACAACTTGACAGCTCATCTACGTGTGAACTTCAGCAAAAAGACAGGATGGTCTCGGCTTGGATTTCTACTTCTTAAACTGGGTGAGTCCACAAAAGCACAACAGCTCTATCAAGGTCTTCTTGAAAAGGCATCTTCTGATAGAGATCAACTGGAATACAATCATCAACTAGGCTGGGCGTATTATAACATGGGCGAGTACTCCAAAGCACTTTCATCGCTTGAACGATCACTTGAAATCGTGAACACAGCTCTTCCTCTAAATCATCTCAACTTGGCTAAATCATGCAACAATATCGGTATGGTGTATAATAGCATGGGCGAATACTCCAAAGCATTTTCATCGCTTGAACGATCAATTGAAATCGCGAACATGGCTCTTCCTCCGAATCATCCCGACTTGACTGGTTTCTACAACAACATCGGTCTGGTGTATAATAGCATGGGCGAGTACTCCAAAGCACTTTCATCATATGAACGATCACTTGAAATTCGGAAAATAGCTCTTCCTCCGAATCATCCCGACTTGGCCCAATCATATAACAACATCGGTAGTGTGTATGGTCACATGGGCGAGTATTCTAAAGCACTTTCAACATATGAACGATCACTTGAAATCCGGAAAATAGCTCTTCCCCCGAATCACCCGGACATGGCAGAATCATACAACAGCATCGGTACGATCTATGATAAAATGGGCGAGTACTCTAAAGCACTGTCATCTTATGAACGTTCACTTGAAATCAGGGAAAAAGCTCTTCCTTCGAATCATCCAGGCTTGGCTACTTCCTACCTAAACATCGGTAGTGTGCACTTTCGCATGGGCGAGTATTCTAAAGCACTTTCATCATATAAACAATCACTCGAAATCAGGAAAGTAGTTCTTCCTCCGAATCATCCAGACTTGGCAGAATCATACAACAGCATCGGTGCGGTCTATCATAAAATGGGCGAGTACTCTAAAGCACTGTCATCTTATGAACGTTCACTTGAAATCAGGAAAATAGCTCTTCCACCGAATCATCCTGACTCGGCTACTTCCTACAGCAACATCGGCAGTGTGTATGTTGACATGGGCAAGTACTCTAAAGCACTTTCGTCCTATGAACAATCACTTGAAATCAGGAAAACACTTCGTCTTCCGAATCATCCAGGCTTGGCTACTTCCTACCTAAACATTGGTAATGTGTACTTTCGCATGGGCAAGTACTCCAAAGCACTTTCATCCTATGAACGATCACTTGAAATCAGGAAAATAGCTCTTCCTGCGAATCATCCAGACTTGGCTAAGTCCTATGAAGGTTTAGGCTTAGTGTATACAAGTATGGGGGAGTACTCTAAAGCAGTTTCATCATATGAACGATCACTCGAAATCCGAAAAGTAGCTCTTCCTCCGAGTCATCCCGACTTGGCTCCATCATACAACAACATCGGTAGTGTGTATTTTAAAATGGGCGAGTACTCTAAAGCACTTTCTTCGTATGAACGATCACTTGAAATCAGGAAAATAACTCTTCCTCCGAATCATCCAGACTTGGCCGAATCATATAACAACATCGGTAGTGTGTATGGTCACATAGACAAGTACTCTCAAGCACTTTCATCGCTTGAACGATCACTTGAAATTCGAAAAATAGTTCTTTCTCCGAATCATCCAGACTTGGCTTCTTCCTACAACAACATTGGTAGTGTGTATCATAGTATGGGCGACTACACAATGGCACTTTCCTTTTATGAAAAAGCCGAAACAATCTGGAAAAAGTCACTTCCTCTAAATCATCCACATATAGAACTTGTGAAAATAAACATTGATATTGTGAAAAACGAAATGTAATTTTTTTTCAGTGGGAGAAAATAAACTGGCTTTCTTGAGTAAAAAACACATCAAAGCGCAACAGTTGCACAATTTCCGGCACGCACGACCAAGGATGCCCTCCGAATTCTGCTGAGTGTGGGTGTCGGTGTGAGGTGTGCGTGCGTAGAGTGTGTATGTGAGTGTTTCGTGTGTGTTTCACTCTAGGCTTGCAAAATTACACCACCACCCACACCCCACACCCCATACCCACACCCACACCTCACCCACACCTCACCCACACCCACACCCACACCCATCCACACCCACACCCACCCCACCACAACTTAATAATTCTTAAAAATTTCACAAAAAACTCAATACTTATACCAAATTAAAACATCGATTTTCAATTCGCTCAAGGCTTTTTTTTACAGACATCTTTATTGAGAATAGTCTATTATTTCACTTCTTCGGTGTCATACAATATAAAACACGCAGAATTCTTGAAATTTCTAACAGTAAAGAGGTGGGATGGATGTGAATAGAATTGGAATGAGACAATGTTGCTATAAGCAAACAAACTCAAATATCTAGAATGCTTGAAAGTTGTAATTAGTTTTCATTATTTTGATTGAGCATGCTTCTGATTACTATTATTTTAAAGTCATAGTATTCATAGATCAGATATTTATTGAATTAGCTGTTCGTTTATGTAGGTTACTGATCATGAATTTGAACTTTTGCTATTTTTATTTCACTTAAAAATGTCTACTTGTTTTCCCAAATGTTCATGCCTTTTATTTATCTATTCTTAGCCGATACAAAGCTACCTAGATTAATATATGTCTCCTGTAATTATTCAATTTTCGTTCACGTAATTTCTTTTCTCTCTTAACAAGATAATCTTTTACATCAATTAAAATATCATTATGAAATTTTCATGACAAAAAACAGTACACAGACTTTGACAGTTAGACAGACAAGAGAGAGAAATAAAATTTAGAGCCTGGTCATACTTACTTTTCATAGACCTATTCAACCATCTGCCTGGTATCTATACAAGGCTTTTCAATACAAAATACCAAAAAAATATATTTGATTTATTGTGGATTCCTACGAAAATGCAGAAGAAATTAGGGTGTTTCAAAGAATGAAGATGACTGCCAGATGTACTAATAGTGTTCTTCGCAAGAACTCTAAACGTAATAAACCTTCTTTAACTCATTCGAACTGATGTCATACACCCCTCGTTTTTCTTTCTTCTACAATATGATGATAAAACTCTGTAAGGTTAATCAAATAAACTGTAGATTATTCTTTTGTACAAGCAAACAAACATTTTTGTATGTCTGCTCGTCTGTAAAATATAAGGTAAATAATTGTGTGAAGACTGTAGTTTACTCATGCAAACATTGTTCACGGGTGACGGATGAAATTGCGTTTTTCGTATATTCAATCATTCATATTATTTTAGAAGCCTGACAATAAAATTCTCATGCTGTTTTACACGATTATTGACTAGTTGAATAATGCCCAGGATTTGTTTCTGACAACTACTCGTTTTTGCAGGATTCGGATAATTGTTTTCTACTAGTGGTAATTGGTCAGAGAAAGTATCAATATCAGTTTTAATGGTTTTAGAAGATATTATGCTATCATCATTGTCAGTTTCAGTGGCAGAACTAGTATATGATGACAACTTATGTTAGTCGAAAAATGAAAGTAAACATTATAACTCAACTTTATTTCGTGTGTGCTATAGTATAATTGTATTGTTGTATAACTGATGACCAAAGAATTGATTTCTTCAATCTGTTCTTATGATAAAGAATTGGCACGAGAATCGGGTCGCCCGTCAGACAAGCGAGTATTTTACCACTGCACCACCAATGCAGATATGTTAGCACGTGATAAACCAAACATAGATCAATACTGAATCTATTTTTGTCTTCCTAAAACCATCTTTATATATATGAACGATAAGGAACTGTCCGAACAATATTGTCAGACTCTGACATCTATACTAAGTTATACTGTTTCTCTTTTTCTACGTTTTTTCCTCATTTTTCTAATGATACGTATATCAATTATATTAATGAGGAAAAGAGATAAATAAAAACGTATAAATTTCTATTTAATTAAACTCATAACTCTCTTTCTTTAATAAATTATAAGAGTAGATCTTAATAAATATCACCAGAAGAGAATATTTGTTTACTGAGTGAATGAAAAGAAAGAAAAAATAGATATATGTATATTTGTATGCGTCATCTGTACGATACCAGAACGAAGGAAAGAAATATTCAACATAAGTGAGTCATCCCTCACAATACATGCGTAAGTGGGAAAAAACCAAGTAATCTTCTCAACGATAAATACGGATCAAAATCGGCTAGACACGAATAAAATAAAACTTGCACACTCCAGTATCATTTACTACGTAAGTAGATAGGATTTTTTGCATTATTAGATTAATGATAATATAAATGTTGAAAGTTAAGAGTAGCTACAAACAAAAAACGACAGAAGATGTGAATGAAGCATTGTAATCAATGGAAAGAAATTATAAAAAAGCTCGAGTTGAAGATGCTTCATATATATGCAATCGATAGTCTTGAGTGAAGTAACTCTTCTTTCTTTAGGTAATCTCAGATGAAAAATGAACTTTTTTCAACTCTAGAGTTTAGATTAGCGCCCTATGTGATGAACTTCAAAATTAAACAAAATAGATTCAAAATATTATTCTTCGATTTACCTATGTGACTTTTTTCTAAGTGTTTCCTAATTGCTGATCGAAAAATGTAATTTTTGTAAAATTCAGAAAAACAAAATATAAACCTACGCTGCATATTGAGAACAGTAGAAGTTTGATGATAGCTAAACGATAGATATCTTCCAGCTCTATAAAATTAATGTTTAGCTTTTCTTGTACCATAAAATGTCAACGAAGAAATGAGTAAAGACATTGTTTTGCTTGAAAGTTGAGAACGTTGAACCCTCACAATATTTTTCGTTCAAAATTTCATTTTGGTATTTGTATTTAAATGATGTTATATATATTCTCGTAGAGAGTTGAACGGCGCATCTTTTTATAAAATTTGAGGTCTATAGAATGAGAATTGGGATAGGGTTCAAAAAAATATTGAAATACTCATTTACTCTAGTCACAAATAAAATTTGTCTTTTTTTTGTTATAGCATGGCAAATTCACGCAGCGTAAATCAAATGAATCGGGACCTACGCACGCATCCCGCTGGTAGGACGATAGAGCGTATCGATCCAGCTTGTCCAGAGAGGTATGATCGCTATATCCATGCCCATTTCGTAGATAAAAGTGCACTTTACATCAACGGCGAATGGAAACACGGTTCTAGGAATTTGACGAACGTCGAGAAGGAATGGTTGAAGGAAAATGGTTGGAATATTTAGTGACATATGTTGGTTTCTAGATGGATTGTTCTCACATTTTGAGCTGCAATATATAATAAATTTAAATAAAACATCAGGAACTATAAAATCTACTTATGTTATTCGATTAAATGTGTGTAATCTACCGAGAATCTTATGAATTGCGAATTCATCACATATCTTTTTCCTGGGATTCTTACTAAGGTTGTGGCTATGTTTACTAGAGAGGGATTTCAAGCTTTCTACGACGCTTTTCGAAGTGTTGAAGTTTTAGGGATTTTCTTTTGTGTTTACTTGAGGCATTAGCACTCGGCGACATTTAATGGAATAGTTGATTGACTTTAGAATATATTGACGGTTTCTCCGATTGTGCTGAAGATGTAGAGTAATAAGAAGGGAATTTTTTCTGTGATTTTATTAGAAGAAAAGTTTATAGGGTAAAATGGTGTGGTTGTAGGGTGCCGGTATGCTGAAGTATAATTATCGCTAATTAACTCTCAATAAATGAATAAATTTCTAGAAAACATCCAGGTAATACCTCAAGCAATAGATAATAGAAGAGCGCTGACAGTAATAAGTTTGGTTTTATTGAAATGGTTTGATGTAAAAATTGAATACGATGCCATTGTTACAATCATTTTAATAAAATTTTCGAGTTTGTGTATGTGTTTTTATTATGACATGTCAATTATGTGTTTCAATTGAATAATTCATTATGTTATTCGTTCTCTCCAGACACTACAGGTTAAAGAGAGGATTAATAAGTAAGCAGTATAGTCTTTTCTGCGATATTCTCCAGATTTTTCCTACCTTGTTAATATATTATGAACGAAACCTCTGCAGTCATTCAATTAATACAAATAGTAAGAAACAATTCCTCAGTGCTATTGAATCTATTTTTTCACACTATTGTTTAAACTATCCGAACAATTTTCAAGAGATATATTTTAGAAAAATATTTCATGTTTCAAAAACTGTCTTATTTGTAAAGAAATCGCAGATAATTATAATGTTCCATAAATTGTCAAAGTGTAAATCTTTCTTTTACACACCCAGGTCGAACATTACTGTGCCCGTAAACGACCGTACACAGCCGTTTACGATGACGTGAACGGCCGTATCCGCCAAAACTACGACCGTATACGGGCCGTAAATAACCCGTTTGGTATGCGCCGTATTACGGTCGTGTGAGACCGTGTCGTGTACGGCGAAATACGACAATCGTTTACACCAAAATCTGTGCCGTAACACGGCAGTATTTTGACGGAGACGACAGTTTACAACGACCTAAACGATCGTAAATGAATGTAACCGACCGTTTTCGGTCACACATTTGGAAAGGATTTCACCAGGATTTCATTTGGATTTCACATTGATTTCACATGGATTTCATTTGGATTTCATTAGGATTTCACAAGGATTTCAAATGGATTTCATATGGATTTCATATGGATTTCAAATGGATTTCACTTGGATTTCACATGGATTTCACATGGATTTCATACGGATTTCATATGGATTTCATATGGACTTCACTTGGATTTCATATGGATTTCATATGGATTCCACATGGATTTCACATGGATTTCACATGGATCTCATATAAATTTCACCAGAATTTCTTCAGTCTC